AGTTGGTATTGGCACAGTCTCTGTGACACCGACGTTAGGCTTTGCCGACGTCGCACCGGTGTTAGAAACGGGAGTTGGAATTGGCACAGTCACTGTGACACCGACGTTAGGCTTTGCCGATGTAGCACTGGTGTTAGAACCAGGAGTTGGTATTGGCACAGTCTCTGTGACAACGACGTTAGGCTTTGCCGATGTAACACCGGTGTTAGAAACGGGAGTTGGTATTGGCACAGTCTCTGTGACACCAAAGTTAGGCTTTGCTGATGTAACACCGGTGTTAGAAACAGGAGTTGGTGTTGGCACAGTCTCTGTGACACCGACGTTAGGCTTTGCCGATGTAGCGCCAGTGTTAGAAACGGGAGTTGGTATTGGCACAGTCACTGTGACACCGATGTTAGGGTTTGCCGATGTAGCTCCGGTGTAAGAACCGGGAGATGGTATTGGCACAGTCTCTGTGACACTGACGTTAGGCTTTGCCAATGTAGCACCGGTGTTAGAAACAGGATTTGGTATTGGCAGAGTCTCTGTGACACTGACGTTAGGCTTTGCCGATGTAACACCGGTGTTAGAAGCAGGAGTTGGTACTGGCACAGTCTCTGTGACACTGACGTTAGGCGTTGCCGATGTAGCACCGGTGTTAGAAACAGGAGTTGGTATTGGCACAGTCTCTGTGACACTGACGTTAGGCTTTGCCGATGTAACACCGGTGTTAGAAGCAGGAGTTGGTATTGGCAGAGTCTCTGTGACACCGACGTTAGGCTTTGCCGACGTCGCACCGGTGTTAGAACCAGGAGTTGGTTTTGGCACAGTCTCTGTGACACCAACGTTAGGCTTTGCCGATGTAGCACTGGTGTTAGAAACGGGAGTTGGTATTTGCACAGTCTCTGTGACGCCGACGTTAGGCTTTGCCGATGTAACACCGGTGTTAGAACCAGGAGTTGGTATTGGCACAGTCTCTGTGACAACGACGTTAGGCTTTGCCGATGTAAAACCGGTGTTAGAAACGGGAGTTGGTATTGGCACAGTCTCTGTGACACCAACGTTAGGCTTTGCCGATGTAACACCGGTGTTAGAAACAGGAGTTGGTGTTGGCACAGTCTCTGTGACACCGACGTTAGGCTTTGCTGATGTAGCACTGGTGTTAGAACCAGGAGATGGTATTGGCACAGTCTCTGTGACACCAACGTTAGGCTTTGGCGATGTAGCTCCGGTGTTAGAACCAGGAGTTGGTATTGGCACAGTCTCTGTGACAACGACGTTAGGCTTTGCCGATGTAACACCGGTGTTAGAAACAGGAGTTGGTATTGGCACAGTCACTGTGACACCGATGTTAGGGTTTGCCGATGTAGCTCCAGTGTAAGAACCGGGAGATGGTATTGGCACAGTCTCTGTGACACTGACGTTAGGCTTTGCCAATGTAGCACCGGTGTTAGAAACAGGATTTGGTATTGGCACAGTCTCTGTGACACTGACGTTAGGCTTTGTCGATGTAACACCGGTGTTAGAAGCAGGAGTTGGTATTGGCACAGTCTCTGTGACACCAACGTTAGGCTTTGCCGACGTCGCACTGGTGTTAGAACCGGGAGTTGGTTTTAGCACAGTCTCTGTGACACCAACGTTAGGCTTTGCCGATGTAGCACCGGTGTTAGAACCAGGAGTTGGTATTGGCACAGTCACTGTGACACCGACATTAGGCTTTGCCGATGTAGCACTGGTGTTAGAAACGGGAGTTGGTATTGGCACAGTCTCTGTGACAACGACGTTAGGCTTTGCCGATGTAGCTCCGGTGTTAGAACCAGGAGTTGGTATTGGCACAGTCTCTGTGACACCGACGTTAGGCTTTGCCGATGTAGCCCCGGTGTTAGAAACGGGAGTTGGTATTGGCACAGTCTCTGTGACACCGATGTTAGGCTTTGCTGATGTAGCACCGGTGTTAGAAACGGGAGTTGGTATTGGCACAGTCTCTGTGACACCTACGTTAGGCTTTGCCGATGTAGCACTGGTGTTAGAAATGGGAGTTGGTATTGGCACAGTCTCTGTGACACCGACGTTAGGCTTTGCCGATGTAGCTCCGGTGTTAGAACCAGGAGTTGGTATTGGCACAGTCTCTGTGACACCGACGTTAGGCTTTGCCGATGTAGCCCCGGTGTTAGAAACGGGAGTTGGTATTGGCACAGTCTCTGTGACACCGATGTTAGGCTTTGCTGATGTAGCACCGGTGTTAGAAACGGGAGTTGGTATTGGCACAGTCTCTGTGACACCTACGTTAGGCTTTGCCGATGTAGCACTGGTGTTAGAAATGGGAGTTGGTATTGGCACAGTCTCTGTGACACCGACGTTAGGCTTTGCCGATGTAGCACCGGTGATAGAAATGGGAGTTGGTATTGGCACAGTCTCTGTGACACCGACGTTCGGCTTTGCCGATGTAGCACCGGTGTTAGAACCAGGAGTTGGTATTGGCACAGTCTCTGTGACACCGACGTTAGGCTTTGCCGATGTAGCACTGGTGTGCGAACCAGGAGTTGGTATTGGCACAGTCTCTGTGACACCGACGTTAGGCTTTGCCGATGTAGCACTGGTGTTAGAAACGGGAGTTGGTATTGGCACAGTCTCTGTGACACCGACGTTAGGCTTTGCCGATGTAGCTCCGGTGTTAGAACCAGGAGTTGGTATTGGCACAGTCTCTGTGACACCGACGTTAGGCTTTGCCGATGTAGCCCCGGTGTTAGAAACGGGAGTTGGTATTGGCACAGTCTCTGTGACACCGATGTTGGGCTTTGCTGATGTAGCACCGGTGTTAGAAACGGGAGTTGGTATTGGCACAGTCTCTGTGACACCTACGTTAGGCTTTCCCGATGTAGCACTGGTGATAGAAATGGGAGTTGGTATTGGCACAGTCTCTGTGACACCGACGTTAGGCTTTGCCGATGTAGCACCGGTGATAGAAACGGGAGTTGGTATTGGCACAGTCTCTGTGACACCTACGTTCGGCTTTGCCGATGTAGCTCCGGTGTTAGAACCAGGAGTTGGTATTGGCACAGTCTCTGTGACACTGTCGTTAGGCTTTGCTGATGTAGCACCGGTGTTAGAACCAGGAGTTGGTGTTGGCACAGTCTCTGTGACACCGAAGTTAGGCTTTGCTGATGTAGCACCGATGTTAGAACCGGGAGTTGGTATTGGCACAGTCTCTGTGACACCGACGTTAGGCTTTGCCGATGTAGCATCGGTGTTAGAACCACGAGTTGGTATTGGCACAGTCTCTGTGACACCGACGTTAGGCTTTGCCGATGTAGCACCGGTGTTAGAACCAGAAGTCGGTGTTGGCACAGTCTCTGTGACACCGACGTTAGGCTTTGCCGACGTCGCACCGGTGTTAGAACCAGGAGTTGGTATTGGCACAGTCTCTGTGACACCGACGTTAGGCTTTGCCGACGTCGCACCGGTGTTAGAAACGGGAGTTGGAATTGGCACAGTCTCTGTGACACCGATGTTGGGCTTTGCTGATGTAGCACCGGTGTTAGAAACGGGAGTTGGTATTGGCACAGTCTCTGTGACACCTACGTTAGGCTTTCCCGATGTAGCACTGGTGATAGAAATGGGAGTTGGTATTGGCACAGTCTCTGTGACACCGACGTTAGGCTTTGCCGATGTAGCACCGGTGATAGAACCGGGAGTTGGTTTTGGCACAGTCTCTGTGACACCGACGTTAGGCTTTGCCGATGTAGCACCGGTGTTAGAACCAGAAGTCGGTGTTGGCACAGTCTCTGTGACACCGACGTTAGGCTTTGCCGACGTCGCACCGGTGTTAGAAACGGGAGATGGTATTGGCACAGTCTCTGTGACACCGACGTTAGGCTTTGCCGATGTAACACCGGTGTTAGAAACGGGAGTTGGTATTGGCACAGTCTCTGTGACACCGACGTTAGGCTTTGCCGATGTAGCACCGGTGTTAGAAACGGGAGTTGGTATTGGCACAGTCTCTGTGACACCTACGTTAGGCTTTGCCGATGTAGCACCGGTGATAGAAACGGGAGTTGGTATTGGCACAGTCTCTGTGACACCGACGTTCGGCTTTGCCGATGTAGCTCCGGTGTTAGAACCACGAGTTGGTATTGGCACAGTCTCTGTGACACTGACGTTAGGCTTTGCTGATGTAGCACCGGTGTTAGAACCAGGAGTTGGTGTTGGCACAGTCTCTGTGACACTGAAGTTAGGCTTTGCTGATGTAGCACCGATGTTAGAACCGGGAGTTGGTTTTGGCACAGTCTCTGTGACACCGACATTAGGCTTTGCCGATGTAGCATCGGTGTTAGAACCACGAGTTGGTATTGGCACAGTCTCTGTGACACCGACGTTAGTCTTGGCCGATGTAGCACCGGTGTTATAAACGGGAGTTGGTATTGGCACAGTCACTGTGACACCGATGTTAGGCTTTGCCGATGTAGCTCTGGTGTTAGAAACGGGAGTTGGTATTGGCACAGTCACTGTGACACTGACGTAAGGCTTTGCTGATGTAGCACCGGTGTTAGAAACGGGAGATGGTATTGGCACTGTCTCTGTGACACCGACGTTAGGCTTTGCCGATGTAACACCGGTGTTAGAAACGGGAGTTGGTATTGGCACAGTCTCTGTGACACCGACGTTAGGCTTTGCCGATGTAGCACCGGTGATAGAAACGGGAGTTGGTATTGGCACAGTCTCTGTGACACCGACGTTAGGCTTTGCCGATGTAGCTCCGGTGTTAGAACCAGGAGTTGGTATTGGCACAACTGGTGTGGCATCGACATTAGGCATTACAGCAGTAGCAATAGTAGCCGTGGTAGTGTTAGAAACTGGAGTTGGTATTGGCACAATCTCCGTGACACCGACGTTAGGCTTTGCCAGTGTAGCACTGGTGTCAGAAACTGGAGTTGCTTTTGGCACAGACTCTGTGTCATTGTTGCTGGGTTGTGTTATGTTCGACACTGTAATGGAGGTGACAGTGGTTGCGACTGTGGTACCCGCAGTGCTGGGGCCTGATGTTCGCGTCGGGGGACGAGTTGTCATCTGCGTAGCTGTAAAAAACAAAGCACGTTGTTTAGAGTTGGAAGCAAGACGCGCACGCGGAAACAACGGAGAGAACTTTGAAAAAACGGGATGAGGCGACGCAGCCTAGAATTGGAGGACAACGTCTTATCAGCCTTGTCCGTTGAATAATGGCGAGTACGGTGTTAGCGCAATTCCTGCACGCCGAGGCATGTCGCGGGCGTGCTGTCACAGGCATTTGTCCATCCACTGCTGGATGAATGCCTCCCCCATACTCTGCCACGCTAGTCATTGCAGGTTGGTGAAGGGCGCGCGGTGGTCGCGCACCGGTTCCGATATCGCTCGCCACTGACGGTACCCATGGTTGAGAATTGAACTCAGGTCGTTGGGTTCAGAATGACTCAGAGGCGCCGAGGAATGATAGACAAGCGGGAAGGCAACCGTGGGATGATCCAGCACCAACAATTGCCCAAGCTCTGCAGTCCTCTCTATGTTAAACGCGTTATCGGCCAATGACGAATGTTTACATGTGGGAGGAAATCGGAGAACCCCTGGAGAAAGCCGACACGTGCGGGGGAGAAACACTGTACTCTTTGGTTCTATTGGGTAAAGTCACGTAGGTGAAAATAAAATAACAAAAAATCACGACGTTTCGGCCACAACACAAGCGGCCTTCATCAGGTGAAGGGACGAGACTGTCTGGAGAACAGCGCTTTGTCAAGGGGTACCTCTGCGGATGTGTATACTTTAACTTAGCTATTTCAATGAGCCATTTCAATGCTAAATTATATGCTAATTCCTTTGTCAAGGCGTGTGGTCTTTTTCTTCTCACACAGCTTAAAGGTCGTGATCTAAGCGTGGCTTCTTCCACTCCAGCGCTGTCCTCCAGACAGTCTCGTCCCTTCACCTGATGAAGGCCGCTTGTGTTGTGGCCGAAACGTGGTGATTTTTTGTTATTTTATTTTCACCTACGTGACTTTACCCAATAGAACCAAAGAGTATGGATCCTAGCAGTCACGAAAGCTTTAAATCTAGAATAGAAACACTGTATCCCATATAGACTGAATGGGTCGAATCCACATTTTTGCTGTACTGCCGTCTGGCTGCTCGAGGCTCGCGGGAAGTGAGTTTCACCCAGCCTCACTGCCTCCACAGTGCAGGATTACAGGCCACGTGCATAGCCACCTCCTTGGCACAGATTCATCGTCATCATCAGTCATGATCAATCCACTGCTGGATGAAGGCTTCTCCAAGCCACCGCCATCCCCCACGAACGCGCGACGCTAACTTCCACCATGAATACGAATTTCCCATTTTACTGCACGCAGGGGTAATGTGGAAACTCACTGCAAAACTCCTCGTCACTGCTGTCTCCACAGTCGTTAGACCCATTGCAGACAGCTGACAGTGGAGCACACGCCCCGTTGTCACACTGGAAGGAGTCGGCTGGACAGCAGCGGGCCTCATCCGAGCCGTCTGGGCAGTCCGCGTCTCCGTCACAGCGGTAGAGAGATGGGATGCACTGGCCTCCTCCGCAGCTGAACTCTCCAATCGCACAGCCTGTCCAGAAAAAAAAGGTGTTAGCTTGAGTACCTACATCCAGATGAATTTCTGTCAGGCTTGGTAGCACCCACAGTCATAAGTGAGGAAGATAGAGTCCCTGAATTTCAGATTAATTTGAAAATATAGAAATTGGGCCTTGACATAAAACATCAGATGATCCAGAATGTTTGTTTTGGATTAATCCCAAAATGTGATGTGACGTCACTTCAATGACATCCCCTCTACGCTATTACTGCTTCAAATTCAGTCCCTTATCGTTTCTTTTGAAAAATCATTAAAATATTAAACATTGCATTAAAAGTTATAGTTTTTCTGAGTAAACATGTGTAAAAAAAGTTCAACTGAATAACTAACACTCATCACCATGTAAATATATGTGTATATTGACATGTCTAAGATAATCTATAATAATCTAATATAACCCTCTAATTAGCTATGAATAAACTGTTTCACCATGTAAATTTATATAAAGTCATATTAATGGAACTCACGTAAGTGACTGTGATCATTTATTCTATAATATCTTCAAATACATTGACCTCTAGGTATCACTTCCTGCCACTGCTAACTCCCTTGTGGGCACACACTGATGACATCACACCACCTATTTAGGGCCCAACACTGGAGAACATTTTCACAATTCTGGCAACTGCCTGATGCTGCAGTTTGTAACTATCAGCGAAATGCGATGCCTAATTATAAAATGTTGTGCATGCCCTACAACACAGCAGTGTTCTGAAGCAGTAATAAATTGGCACATTTGCTCACGTGACAATTTTATTAATCACAATATTGATGGTGAAAGTCTACTATGTGTTAAATTGATGACGTGCATGTTTGTAACAACGTATGGAGGCAGATGTTGACAACTCACTGCAGTTCTGCTCGTCGCTGTAGTCTCCACAGTCGTCAGCTCCATCGCACACGAACGAGGGGGAGGTGCAGGCCCCGTTACCGCACTGGAAGGAGTCGGGTGGACAATCGGTGCAGCGGCCCTCGTCCGAGCCATCTGGGCAATCCGCGTCTCCGTCACAGCGGTAGAGAGATGGGATGCACTGGCCTCCTCCGCAGCTGAACTCCCCAATCGCACAGCCTGTCCAGAAAAAGTGGTAGCTAAAGTAACCAACATACAGATGAATTTCTGTCCTATTTGGCAGCACCTACAGTCAAAATTCAGAAAGATAGAGTCGCTGAATTTCAGAATCATTTGAAAATATAGAAATTGGGCCAAGACACAAAACATCAGATGATCCAGAATGTTTGTTTTGGATTAATCCCAAAATGTGATGTGACGTCACTTCCATGACATCCCCTCTATGCTATTACTGCTTCAAATTCAGTCCCTTGTCATCTCTTTTGAAAAATCATTAAAATATTAAACATTGCATTCAAAGTTATAGCTTTTCTGAGTAAACTTGTGCAAAAAAAAGTTCAACTGAATAACTAACACTCATCACCATGTAAATATATATCTGTATATTAACATGTCTAAGATAATCTATAATAATCTAACATAACCCTCTAGTATAACTAATTATCCATGAATAAACTGTTTCACCATGTAAATATATATGAAGTCATATTATTGGAACTCACGTAAGTGATTATGATCATTTATTCTATAATATCTTCAAAAACATTGACCTCTAGGTATCACTTCCTGCCACTGCTTGCTCCCTTGTGGGCACACACTGATGACATCACACCACCTATTTAGGGCCCAACACTGGAGGACATTTTCACAATTCTGGCAACTGCCTGATGCTGCAGTTTGTAACTATCAGGGAAATGCGATGCCTAATTATAAAATGTTGTGCATGCCCTACAACACAGCATTGTGCTGAAGCAGTAATAAATTGGCACATTTGTTCACGTGACAATTTTATTAATCACAATATTGATGGTGAAAGTCTACAATGTGTTAAATTGATGACGTGCATGTTTGTAACAACGTATAGAGGCAGATGTTGACAACTCACTGCAGTTCTGCTCGTCGCTGTAGTCTCCACAGTCGTCAGCTCCATCGCACACGAACGAGGGGGAGGTGCAGGCCCCGTTGCCGCACTGGAAGGAGTCGGGTGGACAATCGGTGCAGTGGTCCTCGTCCGAGCCGTCTGGGCAATCCACGTCTCCATCACAGCGGTAGAGAGATGGGATGCACTGGCCTCCTCCGCAGCTGAACTCTCCAATCGCACAGCCTGTCCAGAAAAAAAGGTGTTAGCTTGAGTACCTACATCCAGATGAATTTTTGTCAGGCTTGGTAGCACCCACAGTCATCAGTGAGAAAGATAGAGTCCCTGAATTTCAGATTCATTTGAAAATATAGAAATTGGGCCTAGACACAAAACATCCGATGATCCAGAATGTTTTGTTTTGGATTAATCCCAAAATGCGATGTCGCAAAGTGACGTCACATCCATGACATCCCCTCTCCGCTATTACTGCTTCAAATTCAGTCCCTTGTCGTTTCTTTTGAAAAATCATTAAAATATTAAACATTGCATTAAAAGTTATAGTGTTTCTGAATAAACTTGTGCAGAAAAAAGTTCAACTGAATAACTAACACTCATCACCATGTAAATATATATCTGTATATTAACATGTCTAAGATAATCTATAATAATCTAACATAACCCTCTAGTATAACTAATTAGCTATGAATAAACTGTTTCACCATGTAAATATATATGAAGTCATTATTGGAACTCACGTAAGTGATTGTGATCATTTATTCTATAATATCTTCAAATACATTGACCTCTAGGTATCACTTCCTGCCACTGCTTGCTCCCTTGTGGGCACACACTGATGACATCACACCACCTATTTAGGGCCCAACACTGGAGGACATTTTCACAATTCTGGCAACTGCCTGATGCTGCAGTTTGTAACTATCAGCGAAATGCGATGCCTAATTGTTAAATGTTGTGCATGCCCTACAATAAAGCAGTGTCCTGAAGCAGTTATAAATTGGCACATTTGTTCACGTGACAATTTTATTAATCACAATATTGATGGTGAAAGTCTACTATGTGTTAAATCGATGACATGCATGTTTGTAACAATGTATAGAGGCAGATGTTGACAACTCACTACAGTTCTGCTCGTCGCTGTAGTCTCCACAGTCATCAGCTCCATCACACACGAACGAGGGGGAGGTGCAGGCCCCGTTGCCGCACTGGAAGGAGTCGGGTGGACAATCGGTGCAGCGGCCCTCGTCCGAGCCGTCTGGGCAATCCGCGTCTCCGTCACAGCGGTAGAGAGATGGGATGCACTGGCCTCCTCCGCAGCTGAACTCTCCAATCGCACAGCCTGTCCAGAAAAAAAAGGTGTTAGCTTGAGTACCTACATCCAGATGAATTTGTCAGGCTTGGGAGCACCCACAGTCATCAGTGAGAAAGATAGAGTCCCTGAATTTCAGATTAATTTGAAAATATAGAAATTGGGCCTAGACACAAAACATCAGATGATCCAGAATGTTTGTTTTGGATTAATCCCAAAATGTGATGTGACGTCACTTCCATGACAACCCCTCTATGCTATTACTGCTTCAAATTCAGTCCCTTGTCGATTATTTTGAAAAATCATTAAAATATTAAACATTACATTAAAAGTTATAGTTTTTCTGAGTAAACATGTGTAAAAAAAGTTCAACTGAATAACTAACACTAATCACCATGAAAATATGTATGTGTATATTGACATGTCTAAGATAATCTATAATAATCTAACATAACCCTCTAGGATAACTAATTAGCTATGAATAAACTGTTTCACCATGTAAATTTATATAAAGTCATATTAATGGAACTCACGTAAGTGATTGTGATCATTTATTCTACATCTTCAAATACATTGACCCCTAGGTATCACTTCCTGCCACTGCTTGCTCCCTTGTGGGCACACACTGATGACATCACACCACCTATTTAGGGCCCAACACTGGAGGACATTTTCACAATTCTGGCAACTGCCTGATGCTGCAGTTTGTAACTATCAGCGAAATGCGATGCCTAATTATAAAATGTTGTGCATGCCCTACAACACAGCAGTGTGCTGAAGCAGTAATAAATTGTCACATTTGTTCACGTGACAATTTTATTCATCACAATATTGATGGTGAAAGTCTACTATGTGTTAAATTGATGACGTGCATGTTTGTAACAACGTATAGAGGCAGATGTTGACAACTCACTGCAGTTCTGTTCGTCGCTGTAGTCTCCACAGTCGTCAGCTCCATCGCACACGAACGAGAGGGAGGTGCAGGCCCCGTTGCCGCACTGGAAGGAGTCGGGTGGACAATCGGTGCAGCGGCCCTCGTCAGAGCCGTCTGGGCAGTCCGCGTCTCCGTCACAGCGGTAGAGAGATGGGATGCACTGGCCTCCTCCGCAGCTGAACTCCCCAATCGCACAGCCTGTCCAGAAAAAGTGGTAGCTAAAGTAACCAACGTACAGATGAATTTCTGTCCTATTTGGCAGCACCCACAGTCAAAATTCAAAAAGATAGAGTCCCTGAATTTCAGATTAATTTGAAAATATAGAAATTGGGCCTAGACACAAAATATCACATGATCCAGAATGTTTGTTTTGGATTAATCCCAAATTATGTGATGTTGCAAAAAGTAACGTCACTTCCATGACATCCCCACCACGCTGTTACAGCTCCAAATGCAGTCACTTTTCGTCTCTTTTGATAAATCATAGACATATTGAACATTGCATTAAAGTTATGTTTTTTTTCTGATTAAACTTATGTAAAAAGGTTAAACTCACAAATTATTACTAACACTGATCACCACGTATATATAAATGTATATATTTACGTATCTAACATAACATATAATAATCAAAAATAACCCTCTATAATAACTAATTAGCTCTGACTAACCTGTTTCACAATTTAAATCGTCATATTAAGACACGTCGCAAAAGTGAATGTGATCTAACATTTAACAATTTATTTGAGTATATTAAAACCTCTAGGTATCACTTCCTGCCACTTCCTGCTTCCTTGTGGACACATACTGATGACATCACACCACCTATTTTTGGCCCAACACTGGAGGACGTTTTCACAATTCTGACAACTGCCTGATGCTGCAGTTTGTAACTATCAGAGAAACGTGGTGCCTAATGGCACAATATAATAGATTGCTCTATTACACACTGGTGTGCTGAAAAATAAATACATTGCCACATTTGTTTACATGATGATTTTATTTATCACAATATTGGTTCACGAAGGTCTACTGTCTGTTCAATTGATAAGATGTATATTTGTAACAACATAAAGAGGCAGATGTTGACAACTCACTGCAGTTCTGCTCGTCGCTGTAGTCTCCACAGTCGTCAGCTCCATCGCACACGAACGAGGGGGAGGTGCAGGCCCCGTTGCCGCACTGGAAGGAGTCGGGTGGACAATCGGTGCAGCGGCCCTCATCCGAGCCGTCTGGGCAGTCCGCGTCTCCGTCACAGCGGTAGAGAGATGGGATGCACTGGCCTCCTCCGCAGCTGAACTCTCCAATCGCACAGCCTGTCCAGGAAAAAAAGGTGTTAGCTTGAGCACCTACATCCAGATGAATTTCTGTCAGGCTTGGTAGCACCCACAGTCATCAGTGAGAAAGATAGAGTCCCTGAATTTCAGATTAATTTGAAAATATAGAAATTGGGCCAAGACACTAAACATCACATGATCCAGAATGTTTGTTTTGGATTAATCCCAAAATGTGATGTCGCAAAAGTGACGTCACATCCAAGACATCCCCTCTCCGCTATTACTGCTCCAAATGCAGTCACTTGTCGTCTCTTTTGAAAAATCATTAAAATATTAAACATTGTATTAAAAGTTATAGTTTTTCCGAGTAAACTTGTGCAAAAAAAAGTTCAACTGAATAACTAACACTCATCATCATGTAAATATATATCTGTATATTAACATGTCTAAGATAATCTATAATAATCTAACATAACCCTCTAGTATAACTAATTAGCTATGAATAAACTGTTTCACCATGTAAATATATATGAAGTCATATTATTGGAACTCACGTAAGTGTTCTGCCTCACGGCAAGTGTCTTGCCTCACGGCAGATGTGGGGCGTGTGTACACAGGAATTTCCTGTTTTTGAAATAGGGAGTGGTCACGTGACCAGGAAGTTGCGATTTTAGATTTCCGCTGAACCACGCGGGCGTCGGCCATTAAAAACATAATTCAAGATGGCGGCACACATCGCAGCTCCGTGAAGACAGCTGCAGCCACCGTTGTGGGACTTTGGGAAGCATTGTAAGTTCGTTTGTGTTCTTATGATACTGGCAATGTTGCTATAATATTAGAAGGACCTTTATAATGCTGTTATAACGCTAGAACCTTTATAATGCTGTTAAATTGTTACGATGTATGTGGGGCCTAGTGGACAATAAAGCTTGCAGCTTGCCTTGTGATTTACCTGTAATCGAGTAAGTAGATTCAAACTTGAAATAACAACATGTCTCATTCATAAGACAACGTTATGATGCTGTGGTGTTTATTCATTGTGTTGGTTTTTCTGGGTATTAACAGATGCTGTATCTGTGCTGTTTTCTTACCAGTTTTACCTCTCTCTACCGTACAATTTCAATAAATGACGTTCGGAGGCAGATGTTCACCCTGGCTCTGAGGGTTTATTGGAAACGCGAGGTTATCTACTCAGCTAGCTCTGCAAAGCAACGCAGAGCGAGGCCGAGATAATTGTGATCATTTATTCTATAATATCTTCAAATACATTGACCTCTAGGTATCACTTCCTGCCACTGCTTGCTCCCTTGTGGGCACACACTGATGACATCACACCACCTATTTAGGGCCCAACACTGGAGGACATTTTCACAATTCTGGCAACTGCCTGATGCTGCAGTTTGTAACTATCAGTGAAATGCGATGCCTAATTGTTAAATGTTGTGCATGCCCTACAATAAAGCAGTGTGCTGAAGCAGTAATAAATTGGCACATTTGTTCACGTGACAATTTTATTAATCACAATATTGATGGTGAAAGTCTACTATGTGTTAAATTGATGACGTGCATGTTTGTAACAATGTATAGAGGCAGATATTGACAACTCACTGCAGTTCTGCTCGTCGCTGTAGTCTCCACAGTCGTCAGCTCCATCGCACACGAACGAGGGGGAGGTGCAGGCCCCGTTGCCGCACTGGAAGGAGGCAGGTGGACAATCGGTGCAGGGGCCCTCGTCCGAGCCGTCTGGGCAGTCCGCGTCTCCGTCACAGCGGTAGAGAGATGGGATGCACTGGCCTCCTCCGCAGCTGAACTCTCCAATCGCACAGCCTGTCCAGAAAAAAAAGGTGTTAGCTTGAGTACCTACATCCAGATGAATTTTTGTCAGGCTTGGTAGCACCCACAGTCATCAGTGAGAAAGATAGAGTCCCTGAATTTCAGATTAATTTGAAAATATAGAAATTGGGCCTAGACACAAAACATCACATGATCCAGAATGTTTGTTTTGGATTAATCCCAAAATGTGATGTGACGTCACTTCCATGACAACCCCTCTACGCTATTACTGCTTCAAATTCAGTCCCTTGTCGTTTCTTTTGAAAAATCATTAACATATTAAACATTGCTTTAAAAGTTATAGTTTTTCTGAGTAAACATGTGTAAAAAAGTTCAACTGAATAACTAACACTCATCACCATGTAAATATGTATGTGTATATTGACATGTCTAAGATAATCTATAATAATCTAACATAACCCTCTAGGATAACTAATTAGCTATGAATAAACTGTTTCACCATGTAAATTTATGTAAAGTCATATTAATGGAACTCACGTAAGTGATTGTGATCATTTATTCTATAATATCTTCAAATACATTGACCTCTAGGTATCACTTCCTGCCACTGCTTGCTCCCTTGTGGCCACACACTGATGACATCACACCACCTATTTAGGGCCCAACACTGGAGGACATTTTCACAATTCTGGCAACTGCCTGATGCTGCAGTTTGTAACTATCAGCGAAATGCGATGCCTAATTGTTAAATGTTGTGCATGCCCTACAACACAGCAGTGTGCTGAAGCAGTTATAAATTGGCACATTTGTTCACGTGACAATTATATTCATCACAATATTGATGGTGAAAGTCTACTATGTGTTAAATTGATGACATGCATGTATGTAACAACGTATAGAGACAGATGTTGACAACTCACTGCAATTCTGCTCGTCACTGTAGTCTCCACAGTCGTCAGCTCCATCGCACACGAACGAGGGGGAGGTGCAGGCCCCGTTGCCGCACTGGAAGGAGTCGGGTGGACAATCGGTGCAGCGGCCCTCGTCCGAGCCGTCTGGGCAATCCGCGTCTCCGTCACAGCGGTAGAGAGATGGGATGCACTGGCCTCCTCCGCAGCTGAACTCCCCAATCACACAGCCTGTCCACAAAAATGTGTTAGCTTGAGTACCTACATACAGATTAATTTCTGTCAGGCTTGGCAACACCCACAGGTATCACTAAGAATGATCATGAGTCCCTGAATTTCAGATTAATTTGAAAATATAGAAATTGGGCCTAGACACAAAACATCAGATGATCCAGAATGTTTGAATTGGATTAATCCCAAAATGTGATGTGACGTCACTTCCATGACAACCCCTCTACAATATTACTGCTTCAAATTCAGTCCCTTGTCGTTTCTTTTGAAAAATCATTAAAATATTAAACATTGCATTAAAAGTTATAGTTTTTCTGAGTAAACATGTGTAAAAAGAGTTCAACTGAATAACTAAAACTCATCACCATGTAAATATGTATGTGTATATTAACATGTCTAAGATAATCTATAATAATCTAACATAACCCTCTAGGATAACTAATTAGCTATGAATAAACTGTTTCACCATGTACATTTATATAAAGTCATATTAATGGAACTCACGTAAGTGATTGTGATCATTTATTCTATAATATCTTCAAATACATTGACCTCTAGGTATCACTTCCTGCCACTGCTTGCTCCCTTGTGGGCACACACTGATGACATCACACCACCTATTTAGGGCCCAACACTGGAGGACATTTTCACAATTCTGGCAACTGCCTGATGCTGCAGTTTGTAACTATCAGCGAAATGCGATGCCTAATTATAAAATGTTGTGCATGCCCTACAACACAGCAGTGTGCTGAAGCAGTAATAAATTGGCACATTTGTTCACGTGACAATTTTATTAATCACAATATTGATGGTGAAAGTCTACTATGTGTTAAATTGATGACGTGCATGTTTGTAACAACGTATAGAGGCAGATGTTGACAACTCACTGCAGTTCTGCTCGTCGCTGTAGTCTCCACAGTCGTCAGCTCCATCGCACACGAACGAGGGGGAGGTGCAGGCCCCGTTGCCACACTGGAAGGAGTCGGGTGGACAATCGGTGCAGCGGCCCTCGTCCGAGCCATCTGGGCAGTCCGCGTCTCCGTCACAGCGGTAGAGAGATGGGATGCACTGGCCTCCTCCGCAGCTGAACTCCCCAATCGCACAGCCTGTCCAGAAAAAGTGGTAGCTAAAGTAACCAACATACAGATGAATTTCTGTCCTATTTGGCAGCACCTACAGTCAAAATTCAGAAAGATAGAGTCGCTGAATTTCAGAATCATTTGAAAATATAGAAATTGGGCCAAGACACAAAACATCAGATGATCCAGAATGTTTGTTTTGGATTAATCCCAAAATGTGATGTGGCGTCACTTCCATGACAACCCCTCTACGCTATTACTGCTTAAAATTCAGTCCCTTGTCGTTTCTTTTGAAAAATCATTAAAATATTAAACATTACATTAAAAGTTATAGTTTTTCTGAGTAAACATGTGTAAAAAAAGTTCAACTGAATAACTAACACTCATCACCATGTAAATATATATATATGTGTATATTAACATGTCTAAGGTAATCTATAATAATCTAACATAACCCTCTAGTATAACTAATTAGCTATGAATAAACTGTTTCACCATGTAAATATATATGAAGTCATTATTGGAACTCACGTAAGTGATTGTGATCATTTATTCTATAATATCTTCAAATACATTGACCTCTAGGTATCACTTCCTGCCACTGCTTGCTCCCATGTGGGCACACACTGATGACATCACACAACCTATTTAGGGCCCAACACTGGAGGACATTTTCACAATTCTGGCAACTGCCTGATGCTGCAGTTTGTAACTATCAGCGAAATGCGATGCCTAATTGTTAAATGTTGTGCATGCCCTACAATAAAGCAGTGTGCTGAAGCAGTTTTAAATTGGCACATTTGTTCACGTGACAATTTTATTAATCACAATATTGATGGTGAAAGTCTACTATGTGTTAAATCGATGACATGCATGTTTGTAACAATGTATAGAGGCAGATGTTGACAACTCACTGCAGTTCTGCTCGTCGCTGTAGTCTCCACAGTCATCAGCTCCATCGCACACGAACGAGGGGGAGGTGCAGGCCCCGTTGCCGCACTGGAAGGAGTCGGGTGGACAATCAGTGCAGCGGCCCTCGTCCGAGCCGTCTGGGCAGTCCGCGTCTCCGTCACAGCGGTAGAGAGATGGGATGCACTGGCCTCCTCCGCAGCTGAACTCTCCAATCGCACAGCCTGTCCAGAAAAAAAAGGTGTTAGCTTGAGTACCTACATCCAGATGATTTTTTGTCAGGCTTGGTAGCACCCACAGTCATCAGTGAGAAAGATAGAGTCCCTGAATTTCAGATTAATTTGAAAATATAGAAATTGGGCCTAGACACAAAACATCACATGATCCAGAATGTTTTGTTTTGGATTAATCCCAAAATGTGATGTGACGTCACTTCCATGACAACCCCTGTACGCTATTACTGCTTCAAATTCAGTCCCTTGTCGTTTCTTTTGAAAAATCATTAAAATATTAAACATTGCATTAAAAGTTATAGTTTTTCTGAGTAAACATGTGTAAAAAAAGTTCAACTGAATAACTAACACTCATCACCATGTAAATATGTATGTGTATATTGACATGTCTAAGATAATCTATAATAATCTAACATAACCCTCTAGGATAACTAATTAGCTATGAATAAACTGTTTCGCCATGTACATTTATATAAAGTCATATTAATGGAACTCACGTAAGGGATTGCGATCATTTATTCTATAATATCTTCAAATACATTGACCTCTAGGTATCACTTCCTGCCACTGCTTGCTCCCTTGTGGGCACACACTGATGACATCACACCACCTATTTAGGGCCCAACACTGGAGGACATTTTCACAATTCTGGCAACTGCCTGATGCTGCAGTTTGTAACTATCAGCGAAATGCGATGCCTAATTATAAAATGTTGTGCATGCCCTACAACACAGCAGTGTGCTGAAGCAGTAATAAATTGGCACATTTGTTCACGTGACAATTTTATTAATCACAATATTGATGGTGAAAGTCTACTATGTGTTAAATTGATGACGTGCATGTTTGTAACAACGTATAGAGGCAGATGTTGACAACTTACTGCAGTTCTGCTCGTCGCTGTAGTCTCCACAGTCGTCAGCTCCATCGCACACGAACGAGGGGGAGGTGCAGGCCCCGTTGCCGCACTGGAAGGAGTCGGGTGGACAATCGGTGCAGTGGTCCTCGTCCGAGCCGTCTGGGCAATCCACGTCTCCATCACAGCGGTAGAGAGATGGGATGCACTGGCCTCCTCCGCAGCTGAACTCTCCAATCGCACAGCCTGTCCAGAAAAAAAAGGTGTTAGCTTGAGTACCTACATCCAGATGAATTTTTGTCAGGCTTGGTAGCACCCACAGTCATCAGTGAGAAAGATAGAGTCCCTGAATTTCAGATTCATTTGAAAATATAGAAATTGGGCCTAGACACAAAACATCCGATGATCCAGAATGTTTTGTTTTGGATTAATCCCAAAATGCGATGTCGCAAAGTGACGTCACATCCATGACATCCCCTCTCCGCTATTACTGCTTCAAATTCAGTCCCTTGTCGTTTCTTTTGAAAAATCATTAAAATATTAAACATTGCATTAAAAGTCATAGTGTTTCTGAATAAACTTGTGCAGAAAAAAGTTCAACTGAATAACTAACACTCATCACCATGTAAATATATATCTGTATATTAACATGTCTAAGATAATCTATAATAATCTAACATAACCCTCTAGTATAACTAATTAGCTATGAATAAACTGTTTCACCATGTAAATATATATGAAGTCATTATTGGAACTCACGTAAGTGATTGTGATCATTTATTCTATAATATCTTCAAATACATTGACCTCTAGGTATCACTTCCTGCCACTGCTTGCTCCCTTGTGGGCACACACTGATGACATCACACCACCTATTTAGGGCCCAACACTGGAGGACATTTTCACAATTCTGGCAACTGCCTGATGCTGCAGTTTGTAACTATCAGCGAAATGCGATGCCTAATTGTTAAATGTTGTGCATGCCCTACAATAAAGCAGTGTGCTGAAGCAGTTATAAATTGGCACATTTGTTCACGTGACAATTTTATTAATCACAATATTGATGGTGAAAGTCTACTATGTGTTAAATCGATGACATGCATGTTTGTAACAATGTATAGAGGCAGATGTTGACAACTCACTGCAGTTCTGCTCGTCGCTGTAGTCTCCACAGTCGTCAGCTCCATCGCACACGAACGAGGGGGAGGTGCAGGCCCCGTTGCCGCACTGGAAGGAGTCGGGTGGACAATCGGTGCAGCGGCCCTCGTCCGAGCCGTCTGGGCAATCCGCGTCTCCGTCACAGCGGTAGAGAGATGGGATGCACTGGCCTCCTCCGCAGCTGAACTCTCCAATCGCACAGCCTGTCCAGAAAAAAAAGGTGTTAGCTTGAGTACCTACATCCAGATGAATTTCTGTCAGGCTTGGTAGCACCCACAGTCATCAGTGAGAAAGATAGAGTCCCTGTATTTCAGATTCATTTGAAAATATAGAAATTGGGCCTAGACACAAAACATCAGATGATCCAGAATGCTTGTTTTGGATTAATCCCAAAATGTGATGTGACGTCACTTCCATGACAACCCCTCTACGCTATTACAGCTTCAAATTCAGTCCCTTGTCGTTTCTTTTGAAAAATCATTAAAATATTAAACATTACATTAAAAGTTATAGTTTTTCAGAGTAAACATGTGTAAAAAAAGTTCAACTGAATAACTAACACTAATCACCATGTAAATATGTATGTGTATATTGACATGTCTAAGATAATCTATAATAATCTAACATAACCCTCTAGGACAGTGGTTCTTAACTTGGGTTCGATCGAACCCCAGGGGTTCGGTGAGTCGATCTCAGGGGTTCGGCAGAGCCCCCGCCACGGAGGTCCGGACACACTTGAATTATTGTGTAAATTTGTGATGACACACACGGCCCGCTTGGCCATCACTGGCTGCAGATGATCATGCTACACTGCTTGGCCAATCAGCGCTGCGGGGAATTTAGTGTGTACTCAGTAGTCAACGTGTGACTGTTGTTGTCGTACGTCGTGTGATTTCTTTAATATTTTATCCATACTAACTATGTCGGGCAAAAGAAGAAAGTGGTCGGACGAATATGTACAACATGGATTGTCATGTATCACGGAACGTGATGGGAGTGAGCGTCCTATCTGCATGATTTGCAACGCCAAGTTGAGCAACTCTAGTCTTGCACCGGCAAAACTAAAGGAACACTTCTTGAAGCTGCATGGAGACGGGGAATACAAGAACACAACACTTGCTGAATTCAGGGTGAAGAGAGCCAGATTCGATGAAAGGGCCACTCTGCCTGCTCTTGGATTTGTACCTGTTAACAAACCGATCCTAACAGCATCGTACGAAGTTGCTTACCTGATCGCAAAGCAGGGCAAGCCACACACCATTGGTGAAACACTTGTGAAACCAGCTGCATTAAAGATGGCGAATCTGATACTCGGAACAGCGGCCGAAGGTAAATTATCCCAAATTCCCCTTTCAAATGACACCGTCAGTGACAGAATAGAAGACATGAGTAAAGACATCTTGGCTCAAGTAGTCGCGGATCTGATTTCAAGCCCGGCAAAATTCAGCCTTCAACTCGACGAAACCACAGACGTTTCTGATCTAAGCCAACTTGCTGTTTTTGTACGCTATGTGAAAGACGACATGATAAAAGAAGAGTTTTTATTTTGTAAGCCTCTTACAACAACAATGAAGGCAGCCGATGTGAAGAAGCTTGTGGATGACTTCTTCAGAGACAACAATCTTTCATGGGATATGGTTTCTGCAGTTTGTACGGACGGAGCTCCAGTCATGCTGGGAAGAAAGTCTGGTTTTGGTGCGCTAGTAAAGGCCGATGCACCACACATCATTGTGACGCATTGTATTCTGCACAGGCATGCGTTGGCAACAAAAACCTTACCTCCAAAAATGACAGAAGTATTAAAAACTGTGGTGGAATGTGTGAACTATGTGCGAAAAAGTGCTCTGAGGCACCTCATCTTCAGTGAGCTGTGTAAAGAAATGGGCTCTGAATTTGAGGTACTTCTGCTCCATTCTAATATTCGGTGGTTATCCCGGGGACAGGTGCTGAATCGTGTTTTTGCCATGCGTGTGGAATTAGCCCTGTTTTTGCAAGAGCACCAACACTGCCATGCAGATTGCTTCAAAAATCCTGAGTTCATTCTCATTTTAGCGTACATGGCTGATATAGTCGCAGCTCTCAATCATCTCAATCAGCAGATGCAGGGTGGTGGAGTCAATATCATGGAAGCGGAAGAACACCTGAAGGCTTTTCAAAAAAAGCTACCGTTATGGAAACGACGAACAGAGAACAATAACTTCGCAAACTTCCCGCTTCTGGACGACTGTGCAAGTAAGATCGAAGATGTGTCTGGAATCGGAGATATTTCTGTATCCACGGAACTGAAGCAAACAATTGCCACGCACTTAGATGAGCTTGCAAAGTCTCTCGACGGATATTTCCCTACAAGAGAGTCATATCCAGCATGGGTGAGACAGCCGTTCACGTTTTCTGTTGAAACAGCAGATGTCAATGATGAATTCCTCGACGAAATCATTGAAATTCAGCAGAGCCAGGTTCAACAGCAACTCTTCAGAACAACAACGCTCTCAACGTTTTGGTGTCGACAAATGAACAAGTATCCAGTTATTGCTAAGAAAGCCCTGGATTTTTTTATACCATTTGTTACAACATATCTTTGTGAGCAATCCTTTTCGAGGATGCTGGACATAAAAACGAAGAAAAGGAACAGACTTTGCTGTGAAAATGACATGAGAGTGGCACTTGCCAAGGTGAAGCCACGCATATCTGAACTGATCTCTCAAAGGCAACAGCAGAAGTCACATTGGTTTCCAGGTATGTAATTTGTTGTGAGTTTATGCATTGTGTTGGTTTTATTCTTTGAACAAGGTAATGTTCATGCACGGCTCATTTTGTGTACCAGTAAAAAACATATCTATGTCTTGAATTTGAAAAAAATCACATTTTATTTTTCACTAAAGAGGGGTTCGGTGAATGCGCATATGAAACTGGTGGGGTTCGGTACCTCCAACAAGGTTAAGAACCACTGCTCTAGGATAACTAATTAGCTATGAATAAACTGTTTCACCATGTAAATTAATATAAAGCCATATTAATGGAACTCACGTAAGTGATTGTGATCATTTATTCTATAATATCTTCAAATACATTGACCTCTAGGTATCACTTCCTGCCACTGCTTGCTCCCTTGTGGGCACACACTGATGACATCACACCACCTATTTAGGGCCCAACACTGGAGGACATTTTCACAATTCTGGCAACTGCCTGATGCTGCAGTTTGTAACTATCAGCGAAATGCGATGCCTAATTATAAAATGTTGTGCATGCCCTACAACACAGCAGTGTGCTGAAGCAGTAATAAATTGGCACATTTGTTCACGTGACAATTTTATTAATCACAATATTGATGGTGAAAGTCTACTATGTGTTAAATTGATGACGTGCATGTTTGTAACAACGTATAGAGGCAGATGTTGACAACTCACTGCAATTCTGCTCGTCGCTGTAGTCTCCACAGTCGTCAGCTCCATCGCACACGAACGAGGGGGAGGTGCAGGCCCCGTTGCCGCACTGGAAGGAGTCGGGTGGACAATCGGTGCAGCGGCCCTCGTCCGAGCCGTCTGGGCAGTCCGCGTCTCCGTCACAGCGGTAGAGAGATGGGATGCACTGGCCTCCTCCGCAGCTGAACTCCCCAACCGCACAGCCTGTCCACAAAAGTGTGTTAGCTTGAGTACCTACATAGAGATTAATTTCTGTCAGGCTTGGCAACACCCACAGTTATCACTAAGAATGATCATGAGTCCCTGAACTTTAGATTAATCTTAAAATTCAGAAATCAGGCCTAGACACAAAACATAAAAATGATCCAGAATGTTTGTTTCGGATTGATTGGAAAATGTGATGTCGCAAAAAGTGACGTCACTTCCATCACATCCCCACCACGCTGTTACTGCTCCAGAAGCAATCACTTGTCTCTTTTGATAAATCATAAAAATATAAAACATTGCATTAAAGTCATAGTTCTGATTAAACGTATGTTAAAAGATAAACAGAAAAACTATGACTAACACTGATCAATATATATGCTTACATATCTAACGTAAAATACAATAATATATAATAACGCTCTAATATAACTAATTAGCTCTGACTAACCTGTTTCACCATTTAAATCATCATATTAACATACGTCACGAAAGTGAATGTGATCTAACATTCATTTGAATATATTAACCTCTAGGTATCACTTCCTGCCACTTCCTGCTTCCTTGTGTACACACACTGATGACATCACATCACCTATTTAGGGCCCAACACTAGTGGACATTTTCACAAATCTGGCAATTGCCTGATGCTGCTAATTGTAACTATCAGCGAAACGTGGCACCTAATGGTACAATCGAATGGATTGCTCTATTACACAGTGGTGTGCTGATGCAGAAACACATTGGCACATCTTTTCACATGATAATTTGTTTCATCACAATATTGGTTCCCAAAAGTCTACTGTCTGTTCAATTGATAAGATGTATATTTGTAACAACATAAAGAGGCAGATGTTCACAACTCACTGCAGTTCTGCTCGTCACTGTAGTCTCCGCAGTCGTCAGCTCCATCGCACACGAACGAGGGGGAGGTGCAGGCCCCGTTACCGCACTGGAAGGAGTCGGGTGGACAATCGGTGCAGTGGCTCTCGTCCGAACCATCTGGGCAGTCCGCATCTCCGTCACAGCGGTAGAGAGATGGGATGCACTGGCCTCCTCCACAGCTGAACTCCCCAATCGCACAGCCTGTCCCAAAAAATTTGTTAACTTGAGTACCTACATCCAGATTAATTTTTGGCAGGCTTGGTAGCACCCAACGTGATCACAAAATGTACTAATTAGTTCCTGAATTTTATATTCATCTGAAAAAGACAGAAGCCGAGACACAAAGAAAAAAATTATCCAGAATGTTTATCTTGGATTGATCTGAAAATGTAACATCACAAAAGTGACGTCACTTCCATGACATCCCCTCCACAATGTTCCTGCTTCGTTTGCATGCACTTGTCGTCTCTTTTGATAAATTATTAAAGGAAAAAACATTGCATTAAAGTTAAAGTTTTTCTGGTTAAACCTACGTAAAATATTAAACTGAATAACTATGACTAATCAGTATCACCACGTATATATGTGTATCTTGCCATTTCTAACATAATCTATTATAATCTAACATAACTGTCTAATATATATGATTAGCTATGACTAACCTGTTTTACCATGTAAACGTTCATATTAACGTACCTCACGTAAGTAATTGCGATCTAAGATTTCATAATTTATGTGAATACTTTAACCTCTAGGAATCACTTCCTGCCACTTCCTGCTCCATTGTGGGTGCGCGCTGATGGCGTCACTCCACTTATATAGGGGCCAAAACTGGAGGACATTTTTTACAATTATGGCAACTGCCTGATGCCCTAATTGTAACTATCAGCGAAACATGGAACCGAATGGTAAAATATAATGGATTGCTCTACAGGGTGTTTGAAAAAGATGTACCCAATTTCAGAGCAGTATATTTCATGATGGCAACATGTTACAATTACACAAAAAGTTACAAACGGTTTAATGAGTTATCAAGTTTTACTAACCATTTTATAAATGCTCTATGTGCCCTCCACCTGCTGTACGGACAACATCAATACGATAGTTGAATTCGTCCCAAATGCCTCTCTTCTCGCGTTTTCCTCTGAGGTGCGTGGTCGCCCTGTGCTCTATTCCCCTTACACAAACAGCCCGTTTCCTCAAATTGTCGGTAACAACGACGAATCTCTTTGATTTTGGCGGATCAATGCCAAAACGCCGTTGAAACGCACGCTGCACCGCATTTACGGATTCAGTCTTGCTGAATTGCAGAACGCAAAATGCCTTGTGTTGCGAGGTTACGATCTTGCGAATGACTGAGGCTAGGGGCTGTTTGTGCGCTGGGAGAGGCCTCTAGCGGTAATCATTTTAAACTCTATGCCCCGCCCTCTCTATGCCCCGCCCTTTCAAGTGGGCAGTTCGTGGTTGCAGAGATATAGCGATTTCAAATCGGGTCCATGTTTTAAACACCCTGTATAACACAGTGGTGTGCTGATGCAGAAACACATTGGCACATTTATTCACGTAAACATTTTATTTATCACAATATAGGGCAGCAAAATATACTTCATGTTAAATTGATAAGATACATATTTGTAATAACATATAGCGGTAGATGTTCACAACTCACTGCAGTTCTGTTCATCGCTGTAGTCTCCACAGTCGTCAGCTCCATCGCACACGAACGAGGGGGAGGTGCAGGCCCCGTTGCCACACTGGAAGGAGTCGGCTGGACAATCGGTGCAGCGGCCCTCGTCCGAGCCGTCTGGGCAGTCCGCGTCTCCGTCACAGCGGTAGCCAGACGGGATGCACTCACCTCCTCCGCAGCGGAACTCATCCGCTCCACAGCCTTCAAAGAGAAACACAGTGTCAATCAATGTGCATCGAGTAAACCAATGCAGCACTACCAGTTTAACATGTAGGCTTTCACGACCAATATCATCTATAATACAGGTTTTTTTGGGGTTAGATCGCATGAAGATAAATGTGTCGTTAAACCCACCACCACCCGACACAGCCAACTAGTAAGGTTTGTCACGTGAACAGAACATGCTAATTCGTTACTAGTGTAATGACATGGTGACACCTGATGGCCTGGAAGAGGAATCAAGGGTACAGGCACGGTTAAGTAACAACCAATCAGAGAAGGAGGTGTATCTGGGGCAAAGGTAAAAGGTGGGGTTAGCCGAGAAACTCCGGGAATATGTTCGAAGGTTCCACGAGAGGGCGTGGCCGGAGGCGGGGCCTAGCCACGCCTGGGGTATATAAGGGGGAGCGGACCCGGGGCTTGGGGCTCGTGTGTGGGGTCTGGGTCCTCGCTGCGTCACTGCTCGCCATAATCTCTGTCCGTCGTCTGGCCACGTGGAAGATCTCCTGCGTGGTTTCCATCGCCATCATCCTCACGCTGCCAGCCAGCGGCGTAGCCGAGTGAGGGCGGTGGGACCACGCCGAGTGATCGGCTGTGTGTAGTCAGTAGAGACGTTAATATCTAAGTGTTGTACTCAGTGTGAGTAGGAATAAATGTTGGCCTGTGTTGTGCCCAGTGTGAGTAATAAAGAAGAAGCACCCTCTACAAGACGTGTTGCGGAAGTCGCTCATTACACTAGTATAGCACACTGGTGTGTTGGAGAACAAATCCACAACATTTACAATCTGAGTATGTTTCGCCAGTAATTAGCACCGGCATCATCAGGCAACAGCCAGATTTGTAAAGAAATCCTCCTGTTTTGTTCCTGAAGGGGGTACAAGAACAATGTGCCTGCATAATGTGCATGCTTCATGTAAGTTCATGAGCATATGAATAACCCAACCGTTAATGGATACCCATTGTAATTCATATGCATTCATTAATCCCCTACCACATTTCACAAGATTGACTTACAAGCGAAGTGATCACATCTATCCCTCTATTTAAGGAACGAAACAGGAGGATTTCTCCACAAATCTGGCTGCCGGTTGATAATACCGGTTGTAATTATTGGCGAAACGTCGTACTCAGATTGTAAATGTTGTGGATTTGCTCTCAAACACACCGGTATGCTGTGCTAGTAATGAATTGGCATGTTCTGTTCACGTGACAAACCTTACTAATCGGCTGTGTCGGGTGGTGGCCAGCTTAACGGCAGCACTACCAATATGGTGTTCCATCATCGAATGCCAATATTGATAACTTCATGGTTATTCCACTCACTGCAGTTCTGCTCGTCGCTGTAGTCTCCACAGTCGTCAGCTCCATCGCACACGAACGAGGGGGAGGTGCAGGCCCCGTTGCCGCACTGGAAGGAGTCGGGTGGACAATCTGTGCAGCGGGCCTCGTCTGAGCCGTCTGGGCAGTCCGTGTCTCCATCACAGCGGTATATCAGCTGAACACACTCTCCCGAGCCACAATGGAACTCGTCGTTGCCGCAACCTGGCCAGGGGACAAGAGATAGGAGGATTGACGTCGTTCGTCATAAAAGTAAACCCATCCGTCACTACCCTCGCAATTGAATTCGACAACAACATATTTGCTCTCCGTCACGTGGACGTGAAAAAGACTGAATGCCTGACAGCGCATAAACACAGGTCACAGTGAACACGACGCTACACACTGGCCTGGTGTTGAAGGGAAAACCAAAAACAATTGTCATATCATGAAAAACAATGGGTGAAACGTCAACATTTACTCCCAATACAAGGGTAAAAACGCAGTCCAGCAATTGCTCGCTCAAGTCACTGCTTACCAAATGGCCTGCACTCGAGGGAGCTCTGGAGAAACCCACTAGTGGACGGTGTTTGGTCTACTCTTCCCCTCTGTCGAGACATCTTGGATAAGGAGTGGGTGCCCACACTCTTAACCCTCCATCACACGCGACCTGGCAATAGATTAACTGCGCTGTTTCCATTGAAACTGCTGGGTGGACGTATGCGGCAGTGGAGGTGGGAGTGAAATAAACCCGCACCATCGTTACAACTGCCCCACCAGGACATTGAAGTGGAGCCCTCTGGATTGCAATTAAAGGACACTCATCGTGACAACATGGCAGCATCCGCTCGAAAAAAATATACAAATCCTACGTCGCAAGGTTGGCTACGTATGGTGGATAAGAAGTTCAACATACATAAGTACACCTCGCCTATGTCGACAAGAAGTATGGGCACTCACTGCAGTTCTGCTCGTCGCTGTAGTCTCCACAGTCGTCGGCTCCATCGCACACGAACGAGGGGGAGGTGCAGGCCCCGTTGCCACACTGGAAGGAGTCGGGTGGACAATCGGTGCAGCGGCCCTCGTCCGAGCCGTCTGGGCAGTCCGCGTCTCCGTCACAGCGGTAGCCAGACGGGATGCACTCACCTCCTCCGCAGTGGAACTCATCCGCTCCACAGCCTTCAAAGAGAAACACAGTGTCAATCAATGTGCACCGAGTAAACCAATGCAGCACTACCAGTTTAACGTGTAGGCTTTCACGACCAATATCATCTATAATACAGGTTTTTTTGGGGTTAGATCGCATGAAGATAAATGTGTCGTTAAACCCACCACCACCCGACACAGCCAACTAGTAAGGTTTGTCACGTCAACAGAACATGCCAATTCGTTACTAGAACAGTACACGGTGTGTTGGAAAGCAAATCCACATTAACAATCTGAATACGACGTTTTGCCAGTAATTACAACGGGCATCATCAGGCGGTAGCCAGATTTGTGGAAAAATCCTCCTGTTTCCCTCCTTAAGGGGGTACAAAAAGAATGTGCATGCATGATGTGCATCCACAATGTACGTTGATTACCATATGAATAACCCAACCGTTAATGGATACCCATTGTAATTCATATGCATTCATTAATCCCCTACCACATTTCACAAGATTGACTCACAAGCGAAGTGATCACATCTATCCCTCTATTTAAGGAACGAAACAGGAGGATTTCTCCACAAATCTGGCTGCCGGTTGATAATACCGGTTGTAATTATTGGCGAAACGTGGTACTCAGATTGTAAATGTTGTGGATTTGCTCTCAAACACACCGGTATGCTGTGCTAGTAATGAATTGGCATGTTCTGTTCACGTGACAAACCTTACTAATCGCCAGCTTAACGGCAGCACTACCAATATGGTGTTCCATCATCGAATGCCAATATTGATAACTTCATGGTTATTCCACTCACTGCAGTTCTGCTCGTCGCTGTAGTCTCCACAGTCGTCAGCTCCATCGCACACGAACGATGGGGAGGTGCAGGCCCCGTTGCCACACTGGAAGGAGTCGGGTGGACAATCTGTGCAGCGGGCCTCGTCTGAGCCATCTGGGCAGTCCGTGTCTCCATCACAGCGGTATATCAGCTGAACACACTCTCCCGAGCCACAATGGAACTCGTCGTTGCCGCAACCTGGCCAGGGGACAAGAGATAGGAGGATTGACGTCGTTCGTCATAAAAGTAAACCCATTCGTCACTACCCTCGCAATTGAATTCGACAACAACATATTTGCTCTCCGTCACGTGGACGTGAAAAAGACTGAATGCCTGACAGCGCATAAACACAGGTCACAGTGAACACGACGCTACACACTGGCCTGGTGTTGAAGGGAAAACCAAAAACAATTGTCTTATCATGAAAAACAATGGGTGAAACATCAACATTTACTCCCGATACAAGGGTAAAAACGCAGTCCAGCAATTGCTCGCTCAAGTCACTGCTTACCAAATGGCCTGCACTCGAGGGAGCTCTGGAGAAACCCACTAGTGGACGGTGTTTGGTCTACTCTTCCCCTCTGTCGAGACATCTTGGATAAGGAGCGGGTGCCCACACTCTTAACCCTCCATCACACCGACCTGGCAATAGATTAACTGCGCTGTTTCCATTGAAACTGCTGGGTGGACGTATGCGGCAGTGGAGGTGGGAGTGAAATAAACCCGCACCATCGTTACAACTGCCCCACCAGGACATTGAAGTGGAGCCCTCTGGATTGCAATTCCAGGACGCTCATCGTGACAACATGGCAGCATCCGCTCGAAAAAAATATACAAATCCTACGTCGCAAGGTTGGCTACGTATGGTGGATAAGAAGTTCAACATACATACATAAGTACACCTCGCCTATGTCGACAAGAAGCATGGGCACTCACTGCAGTTCTGCTCGTCGCTGTAGTCTCCACAGTCGTCAGCTCCATCGCACACGAACGAGGGGGAGGTGCAGGCCCCGTTGCCACACTGGAAGGAGTCAAGTGGACAATCGGTGCAGCGGCCCTCGTCCGAGCCGTCTGGGCAGTCCGCGTCTCCGTCACAGCGGTAGCCAGACGGGATGCACTCACCTCCTCCGCAGCGGAACTCATCCGCTCCACAGCCTTCAAAGAGAAACAGTGTCAATCAATGTGTACTGAGTAAACCAATGCAGCACTACCAGTTTAACATGGAGGCTTTCACGACCAATATCATCCATGATACAGGTTTTTTTTATATCGGTTAGATCGCGCAACTATAAAGGTGTCGTTCAAACCACCGCCAACCGACACAGCCAATTAGTAAGGTTTGTCATGTAAATAGAACATGCCAATTCGTTACTAGTACAGTACACCAGTGTGTTGGAAAGCAAATCCACATTTACAATCTGAATACGACGTTTCGCCAGTAATTACAACGGGCATCATCAGGCGGTAGCCAGATTTGTGGAAAAATCCTCCTGTTTCCCTCCTTAAGGGGGTACAAAAAGAATGTGCATGCATGATGTGCATCCACAATGTACGTTGATTACCATATGAATAACCCAACCGTTAATGGATACCCATTGTAATTCATATGCATTCATTAATCCCCTACCACATTTCACAAGATTGACTCACAAGCGAAGTGATCACATCTATCCCTCTATTTAAGGAACGAAACAGGAGGATTTCTCCACAAATCTGGCTGCCGGTTGATAATACCGGTTGTAATTATTGGCGAAACGTCGTACCTAGATTGTAAATGTTGTGGATTTGCTCTCAAACACACCGGTATGCTGTGCTAGTAATGAATTGGCATGTTCTGTTCACGTGACAAACCTTACTAATCGACTGTGCCGGGTGGTGGCCAGCTTAACGGCAGCACTACCAACATGGTGTTCCATCATCGAATGCCAATATTGATAACTTCATGGTTATTCCACTCACTGCAGTTCTGCTCGTCGCTGTAGTCTCCACAGTCGTCAGCTCCATCGCACACGAATGAGGGGGAGGTGCAGGCCCCGTTGCCGCACTGGAAGGAGTCGGGTGGACAATCGGTGCAGCGGGCCTCGTCCGAGCCGTCTGGGCAGTCCGTGTCTCCATCACAGTGGTATATCAGCTGAACACACTCTCCCGAGCCACAATGGAACTCGTCGTTGCCGCAACCTGGCCAGGGGACAAGAGATAGGAGGATTGACGTCGTTCGTCATAAAAGTAAACCCATCCGTCACTACCCTCGCAATTGAATTCGACAACAACATATTTGCTCTCCGTCACGTGGACGTGAAAAAGACTGAATGCCTGACAGCGCATAAACACAGGTCACAGTGAACACGACGCTACACACTGGCCTGGTGTTGAAGGGAAAACCAAAAACAATTGTCATATCATGAAAAACAATGGGTGAAACGTCAACATTTACTCCCCATACAAGGGTAAAAACGCAGTCCAGCAATTGCTCGCTCAAGTCACTGCTTACCAAATGGCCTGCACTCGAGGGAGCTCTGGAGAAACCCACTAGTGGACGGTGTTTGGTCTACTCTTCCCCTCTGTCGAGACATCTTGGATAAGGAGTGGGTGCCCACACTCTTCACCCTCCATCACACGCGACCTGGCAATAGATTAACTGCGCTGTTTCCATTGAAACTGCTGGGTGGACGTATGCGGCAGTGGAGGTGGGAGTGAAATAAACTCGCACCATCGTTACAACTGCCCCACCAGGACATTGAAGTGGAGCCCTGTGGATTGCAATTCCAGGACGCTCATCGTGACAACATGGCAGCATCCGCTCGAAAAAAATATACAAATCCTACGTCGCAAGGTTGGCTACGTATGGTGGATAAGAAGTTCGACATACATACATAAGTACACCTCGCCTATGTCGACAAGAAGCATGGGCACTCACTGCAGTTCTGCTCGTCGCTGTAGTCTCCACAGTCGTCGGCCCCATCGCACACGAACGAGGGGGAGGTGCAGGCCCCGTTGCCACACTGGAAGGAGTCGGGTGGACAATCGGTGCAGCGGCCCTCGTCCGAGCCGTCTGGGCAGTCCGCATCTCCATCACAGCGGTAGAGAGATGGGATGCACTGGCCTCCTCCGCAGTGGAACTCATCCACTCCACAGCCTTCAAAGAGAAACACAGTGTCAATCAATGTGCATCGAGTAAACCAATGCAGCACTACCAGTTTAACATGTAGGCTTTCATGACCAATATCATCCATAATACAGGTTTTTTGGGGGTTAGATCGCATGAAGATAAATGTGTCGTTAAACCCACCACCACCCGACACAGCCAACTAGTAAGGTTTGTTACGTCAACAGAACATGCTAATTCGTTACTAGTGTAATGACATGGTGACACCTGCTGGCCTGGAAGGAGAATCAAGGGTACAGGCACGGTTAAGTAATAACCAATCAGAGAAGGAGGTGTATCTGGGGCAAAGGTAAAAGGTGGGGTCAGCCGAGAAACTCCGGGAATATGATCGAAGGTTCCACGAGAGGGCGTGGCCGGAGGCGGGGCCTAGCCACGCCTGGGGTATATAAGGGGGAGCGGACCCGGGGCTTGGGGCTCGTGTGTGGGGTCTGGGTCCTCACTGCGTCACTGCTCGCCATAATCTCTGTCCGTCGTCCAGCCACGTGGAAAATCTCCTGCGTGGTTTCCATCGCCATCATCCTCACGCTGCCAGCCAGCGGCGTAACCGAGTGAGGGCGGTGGGACCACGCCGAGTGATCGGCTGTGTGTAGTCAGTAGAGACGTTAATATCTAAGTGTTGTACTCAGTGTGAGAAGGAATAAATGTTGGCCTGTGTTGTGCCCAGTGTGAGTAATAAAGAAGAAGCACCCTCTACAAGACGTGTTGCGGAAGTAGCTCATTACACTAGTATAGCACACTGGTGTGTTGGAGAACAAATCCACAACATTTACAATCTGAGTATGTTTCGCCAGTAATTAGCACCGGCATCATCAGGCAACAGCCAGATTTGTAAAGAAATCCTCGTGTTTTGTTCCTGAAGGGGGTACAAGAACAATGTGCATGCATAATGTGCATGCTTTATGTAAGTTCATGAGCATATGAATAACCCAACCGTTAATGGATACTCATTGTCATTTATATGTATTCACTAATCCCCTCCCACTTCACACAAGATTGGCTTACAAGTGATGTCATCACATCTATGACTATTTAAGGCACAAAACAGGTGGATTTCTCCCCAAATTTGGCTGCCGCCTGATGAAGCTAGTTATAATTACTGACAAAACATCGTAGTCAGATTGTAAATGTTGTGGATTTGCTCTCTAACACACCGGTGTGCTGTGCTAGTAATGAATTAGCATGTTCTCTTTACGTGACAAACCTTACTAATTGGCTGTGTCGAGTGGTGGCGGGTTTAACGGCAGCACTACCAATATGGTGTACCCTCATCACCCATTTTGATAACTTCAGGATTATTCCACTCACTGCAGTTCTGCTCGTCGCTGTAGTCTCCACAGTCGTCGGCTCCATCGCACACGAACGAGGGGGAGGTGCAGGCCCCGTTGCCACACTGGAAGGAGTCGGGTGGACAATCGGTGCAGCGGCCCTCGTCCGAGCCGTCTGGGCAGTCTGCGTCTCCGTCACAGCGGTAGCCGGACGGGATGCACTCACCTCCTCCGCAGCGGAACTCATCCGCTCCACAGCCTTCAAAGAGAAACACTGTCAATCAATGTGTACTGAGTAAACCAATGCAGCACTACCAGTTTAACATGGAGGCTTTCACGACGAATATCATCCATAATACAGGTTTTTTTTTATCGGTTAGATCGCGCAACTATAAAGGTGTCGTTCAAACCACCGCCAACCGACACAGCCAATTAGTAAGGTTTGTCATGTAAATAGAACATGCCAATTCGTTACTAGTACAGTACACCGGTGTGTTGGAAAGCAAATCCACATTTACAATCTGAATACGACGTTTCGCCAGTAAATACAACGGGCATCATCAGGCGGTAGCCAGATTTGTGGAAAAATCCTCCTGTTTCCCTCCTTAAGGGGTTACAAAAACAATGTGCATGCATGATGTGCATCCACAATGTACGTTGATTACCATATGAATAACCCAACCGTTAATGGATACCCATTGTAATTCATATGCATTCATTAATCCCCTACCACATTTCACAAGATTGACGCACAAGCGAAGTGATCACATCTATCCCTCTATTTAAGGAACGAAACAAGAGGATTTCTCCACAAATCTGGCTGCCGGTTGATAATACTGGTTGTAATTACTGCCGAAACGTCGTACTCAGATTGTAAATGTTGTGGATTTGCTCTCAAACACACTGGTATGCAGTGCTAGTAATGAATTGGCATGTTCTGTTCACGTGACAAACCTTACTAATCGGCTGTGTCGGGTGGTGGCCAGCTTAACGGCAGCACTACCAATATGGTGTTCCATCATCAAATGCCAATATTGATAACTTCATGGTTATTCCACTCACTGCAGTTCTGCTCGTCGCTGTAGTCTCCACAGTCGTCAGCTCCATCGCACACGAACGAGGGGGAGGTGCAGGCCCCGTTGCCGCACTGGAAGGAGTCGGGTGGACAATCGGTGCAGCGGGCCTCGTCCGAGCCGTCTGGGCAGTCCGTGTCTCCATCACAGCGGTATATCAGCTGAACACACTCTCCCGAGCCACAATGGAACTCGTCGTTGCCGCAACCTGGCCAGGGAACAAGAGATAGGAGGATTGACGTCGTTCGTCATAAAAGTAAACCCATCCATCACTACCCTCGCAATTGAATTCGACAACAACATATTTGCTCTCCGTCACGTGGACGTGAAAAAGACTGAATGCCTGACAGCGCATAAACACAGGTCACAGTGAACACGACGCTACACACTGGCCTGGTGTTGAAGGGAAAACCAAAAACAATTGTCATATCATGAAAAACAATGGGTGAAACGTCAACATTTACTCCCCATACAAGGGTAAAAACACAGTCCAGCGATTGCTCGCTCAAGTCACTGCTTACCAAATGGCCTGCACTCGAGGGAGCTCTGGAGAAACCCACTAGTGGACGGTGTTTGGTCTACTCTTCCCCTCTGTCGAGACATCTTGGATAAGGAGCGGGTGCCCACACTCTTAACCCTCCATCACACGCGACCTGGCAATAGATTAACTGCGCTGTTTCCATTGAAACTGCTGGGTGGACGTATGCGGCAGTGGAGGTGGGAGTGAAATAAACCCGCACCATCGTTACAACTGCCCCACCAGGACATTGAAGTGGAGCCCTCTGGATTGCAATTCCAGGACGCTCATCGTGACAACATGGCAGCATCCGCTCGAAAAAAATATACAAATCCTACGTCGCAAGGTTGGCTACGTATGGTGGATAAGAAGTTCAACATACATAAGTACACCTCGCCTATGTCGACAAGAAGCATGGGCACTCACTGCAGTTCTGCTCGTCGCTGTAGTCTCCACAGTCGTCGGCCCCATCGCACACGAACGATAGGGAGGTGCAGGCCCCGTTGCCGCAGGTGAACGAGTTGGGTGGACAATCGGTGCACCTCGTCTCGTCCGATCCGTCCGGGCAGTCCACGTCTCCATCACAGCGGTAGATGGATGGGATGCACTCGCCTCCTCCGCATTGGAACTCATCCGTTCCACAGCCTTCGAAGAGAAACTCAGTGTGAGTCAATGTGTACCGAAGAAACCAATGCAGCACGAGGAGGGTGTTCCCTCATCGAATGCCAATGTCGATAACGCGAGGTTTTTCTACTCACTGCAGTTCTGCTCGTCGCTGTAGTCTCCACAGTCGTCAGCACCATCGCACACGAACGAGGGGGAGGTGCAGGCCCCGTTGCCGCACTGGAAGGAGTCGGGTGGACAATCGGTGCAGCGGCCCTCGTCCGAGCCATCTGGGCAGTCCGCGTCTCCGTCACAGCGGTAGAGAGATGGGATGCACTGGCCTCCTCCGCAGGTGAACTCCCCAATCGCGCAGCCTGTCAACAAAAAAGGTGTTAGCTCGAGTACCTACATCCACATTAATTTCTGTCGGGCTTGGCAGCACCCAGTCATCACTGAGAATGTTCATTATTTCCTGAATGTTATATTAATCTGAAGACATAAATCGGGGCCTAAAGATTCGAAACATAAAATGATCCAGAATGTTTGTTTTGGACTGTTCCAAAAATGTGACGTCGCAAAAAGTGATGTCACTTCCGTAACATCCCGTCCATGCTGTTACTACTTATTTTGATATAATTGTTGACATATCTAACATGATCTATTATTACATAGCATAACCCTCTAGGATAGATAATTCGCTATGACTAACCTGTTTCACCATGTAAACCTTCATATTAACATACCCCACATAAGCGATTGTGATCTAATATTTTATCATTTATGTTATATTTACGTGACAAACCTTACTAATTGGCTGTGTCGGGTGGTGGCGGGTTTAACGACACATTAGTATTTATGTTATCTAGCCATGAAAAAACCTGCTTAAAGGATTATATTGGTCGCGAAAGCCTTCGTGTTAAAATAACCCTCTAGTATAGCTAATTATCTATGAATAACCTGTTTCACTATGTAACGTTTATAATAAGATATGTATATATTAGTGATTGTGATTTAACATTGTATAATATATGCGAATAAATTAATCTCTAGGGATCACGTCCTGCAACTGTCTGCTCCCTTATGGGTGCACACTGATGACATCATGCCATCTATTTAGGGCCCAACACTGCAGCACATTTGAAAAATTATCGTAACTGCCTGATGCTGCTGGTTGTAACTATAAGGGAAATGTTGTGCCCAATTGTTCAATGTTATGGATTGCTCTACAACATAGTGGTGTGCTGAAGCAGAAATATATTTTCACATTTGTTTACGGAAGAACTCTATTAATTGACTGTGTTGGCTGGAAGAAAGTTCACGACAAACATTTTATTAACGTGATCTGACCCAAAAATCAATTACGAACAACCATGTTAGTCACAAAATTCTAGTATTTGTTAAATTTATGAGATGTACGTTTATAAAAACGTATAGAGGCAGATGATGACAACTCACTGCAGTTCTGCTCGTCGCTGTAGTCTCCACAGTCGTCGGCTCCATCGCACACGAACGAGGGGGAGGTGCAGGCCCCGTTACCACACTGGAAGGAGTCGGGTGGACAATCGGTACAGTGGCCCTCGTCCGAGCCGTCTGGGCAGTCCGCGTCTCCGTCACAGCGGTAGAGAGATGGGATGCACTGGCCTCCTCCGCAGCTGAACTCCCCAATCGCACAGCCTGTCCACAAAAAGTGGTAGCTTTAGTACCTACATCCAGATGAATTTCTGTTCGACTTGGCAGCACCCACCATCATCACGTAATGTATTAATGAGTTCCTAAATTGAAGATTAACCTGAAAAATTCAGAAATCGGGTCTAAATACGAAATATCAAATGATCCAGATTGTTTTTGATTGATCCGAAAATCTGATGTCGCAAAAAGTGAAGTTACATCCATTACATTTCGTCCACGCTGTTGCCGCTGATTTGATGAGATTGATACATTTAACACATTGCATTAACGTCATAGTTTTTCTGAATAAACTTACATTAAGTTAAACTGAATAACTATAACTCACCAGTCTCATCACGCAAATCTATATTTATGTGTATATTGACATATCTAACATAATCTATTATAACATAACATAACCTTCCAGTATAATTAATTCGCTATTACTAACCTGTTTCACCATATAAACCTTCATATTAACATGTATCACCTCAGTGATTGTTATCTAACATTTTATAATTTAGCGAATACATTCATCTCTAGGTATCACTTCCTGCCACTTTCTGCTCTCTTGTGGGCACACACTGATGACATCACACCACCTTTTTAGAGCCCAACACTGGAGGACATTTTCACAATTCTGGCAACTGCCTGATGCTGCTGATTATAACTATCAGCAAAACGTCGTGCCCAATTGTTCAATGTTGTGGTTTGCTCTACAACACAGTGGTGTGCTGAAGCAGAAATACATTGGCACATTTGATCACGTGACATTTCTATTAAATGGCTGTGTCGAGTGGAGGAGGGTGTACCACGTGGATTTTGTTCATGTGATCTAACCCAAATATCAATTACGAATCACAATATTGATCGTGAAAATTTACTGTGCATTACATTGAGAACATGCATGTTTGAAACAACAAATAGAGGCAGATGCTGACAACTCACTGCAATTCTGCTCGTCGCTGTAGTCTCCACAGTCGTCGGCTCCATCGCACACGAACGAGGGGGAGGTGCAGGCCCCGTTACCGCACTGGAAGGAGTCGGGTGGACAATCGGTGCAGCGGCCCTCGTCCGAGCCGTCTGGGCAATCCGCGTCTCCGTCACAGCGGTAGAGAGATGGGATGCACTGGCCTCCTCCGCAGCTGAACTCCCCAATCGCACAGCCTGTCCACAAAAAGTGGTAGCTTTAGTACCTACATCCAGATTAATTTCTGTTCGACTTGGCAGCACCCACCATCATCACGTAATGTATTAACGAGTTCGTGAATTGAAGATTAACCTGAAAAATTCAGAAATCGGGTCTAAATACGAGATATCAAATTATCCAGATTGTTTGTTTTTGATAGATCCGAAAATCTGATGTCGCAAAAAGTGAAGTTACACCCAGTACATTTCGTCCACGCTGTTGCCGCTGATTTGATGAGATTGATACATTTAACACATTGCATTAACGTCATAGTTTTTCTGAATAAACTTACATTAAGTTAAACTGAATAACTATAACTCACCAGTCTCATCACGTAAATCTATATTTTCGTGTATATTGACATATCTAACTTAATCTATTATAACATAACATAATCTTCCAGTATAATTAATTCGCTATTACTAACCTGTTTCACCATATAAACCTTCATATTAATATAGATCACATCAGTGATTGTGATCTAACATTTTATAATTTAGCGAATACATTCATCTCTAGGTATCACTTCCTGCCACTTCCTGCTCCCTTGTGGGCAAACACTGATGACATCACACTACCTATTTCGGGCCCAACACTGGAGGACATTTTCACAATTCTGGCAACTGCCTGATGCTGCTGATTATAACTATCAGCGAAACGTCGTGCCCAATTGTTCAATGTTGTGGATTCCTCTACGACACAGTGGTGTGCTGAAGCAGAAATCCATTGGCACATTTGATCACGTGATATTTCTATTAAATTACTGTGTCGAGTGAAGGAGGGTGTACCACGTGGATTTTATTCATGTGATCTAACCCAAAATCAATAACGAATCACAATACTGATCGTGAAAATCTACTGTGCATTAAATTGATAACATGCATGTTTGTAGCAACGTATAGAGGCAGATGTTGAAAACTCACTGCAGTTCTGCTCGTCGCTGTAGTCTCCACAGTCGTCAGCTCCATCGCACACGAACGAGGGGGAGGTGCAGGCCCCGTTGCCACACTGGAAGGAGTCGGGTGGACAATCGGTGCAGCGGCCCTCGTCCGAGCCGTCTGGGCAGTCCGCATCTCCATCACAGCGGTAGAGAGATGGGATGCACTGGCCTCCTCCACAGTTGAACTCCCCAATCACACAGCCTGTCCAGAAAACACACGTCTGAATGTAGTCCTGCTCACGTATGTGATTTCAACATGACAATCAATTCTAGACTATCGATGGCAGCATTATGCTCGTTTCAGATTCACTATGCTCGTACAAAATAAATATTTTACATGCGCTGGATAATTCATTAGCTGCTCCTCACTCATCGAGGACCAGCAACTCGGTGACATTTTCACCGCACACGACGGCGAGTCGAGCGATTACGTGAAGAGGAAACAAACACAGGCAACACAATCCGTCTCTGCAATAAATTCACCGTCTTTGAATTTTATCTGGGCCACCCCTGTCCATTACCCCAGATAAGCAAGATTTCATAATGTAGCAATAACAATGAAGGTAAGTGATTAGTTGTGACATTTATTGCTTTCGCAAACGAACACGAAAGTGCAACACTCACTGCAGTTCTGTTCGTCGCTGTAGTCTCCGCAGTCGTCAGCTCCATCGCACACGAACGAGGGGGAGGTGCAGGCCCCGTTGCCACACTGGAAGGAGTCGGGTGGACAATCGGTGCAGCGGCCCTCGTCCGAGCCGTCTGGGCAATCCGCGTCTCCGTCACAGCGGTAGAGAGATGGGATGCACTGGCCTCCTCCGCAGCTGAACTCCCCAATCGCACAGCCTGTCCACAAAAAGTGGTAGCTTTAGTACCTACATCCAGATGAATTTCTGTTCGACTTGGCAACACCCACCATCATCACGTAATTTATTAATGAGTTCCTGAATTGAAGATTAACCTGAAAAATTCAGAAATCGGGTCTAAATACGAAATATCAAATGATCCAGATTGTTTTTGATTGATCCGAAAATCTAATGTTGCAAAAAGTGAAGTTACACCCATTACATTTCGTCCACGCTGTTACCGGTTCTTTTGATGAGTTTGATACATGTAACACATTGCATTAACGTCATAGTTTTTTTGAATAAACTTACATGAAGTTAAAGTGAAAAACTATAACTCACCAGTCTCACCACGTAAATCTATATTTGTGTATTTTGACATATATAACATAATCTCTTGTAACATAACATAACCTTCCAGTATAATTAATTCGCTATTACTAACCTGTTTCACCATATACACCTTCATATTAACATGTATCACATCAGTGATTGTTATCTAACATTTTATAATTTAGCGAATACATTAATCTCTAGGCATCACTTCCTGCCACTTGCTGCTCCCTTGTGGGCACACACTGATGACATCACACCACCTATTTCGGGCCCAACACTGGAGGACATTTTCACAATTCTGGCAACTGCCTGATGCTGCTGATTATAACTATCAGTGAAGCGTCGTGCCCAATTGTTCAATGTTGTGGATTGCTCTACACCACAGTGGTGTGCTGAAGCAGAAATACATTGGCACATTTGATCACGTGACATTTCTATTAAATGGCTGTGTCGAGTGGAGGAGGGTGTACCACGTGGATTTTGTTCATGTGATCTAACCCAAAAATCAATATTGATCGTGAAAATTTACTGTGCATTAAATTGAGAACATGCATGTTTGAAACAACGTATAGAGGCAGATGCTGACAACTCACTGCAGTTCTGCTCGTCGCTGTAGTCTCCACAGTCGTCGGCTCCATCGCACACGAACGAGGGGGAGGTGCAGGCCCCGTTGCCACACTGGAAGGAGTCGGGTGGACAATCGGTGCAGCGGCCCTCATCCGAGCCATCTGGGCAGTCCGCGTCTCCGTCACAGCGGTAGAGAAATGGGATGCACTGGCCTCCTCCGCAGCTGAACTCCCCAATCGCACAGCCTGTCCACAAAAAGTGGTAGCTTTAGTACCTACATCCAGATGAATTTCTGTTCGACTTGGCAGCACCCACCATCATCACGTAATGTATTAACGAGTTCGTGAATTGAAGGTTAACCTGAAAAATTCAGAAATCGGGTCTAAATACGAGATATCAAATTATCCAGATTGTTTGTTTTTGATTGATCCGAAAATCTGATGTCGCAAAAAGTGAAGCTACACCCATTACATTTCGTCCACGCTGTTGCCACTACTTTTGATGAGATTGATACATTTAACACATTGCATTAACGTCATAGTTTTTCTGAATAAACTTACATTAAGTTAAACTGAATAACTATAACTCACCAGTCTCATCACGTAAATCTATATTTATGTGTATATTGACATATCTAACATAATCTATTATAACATAACATAACCTTCCAGTATAATTAATTCGCTATTACTAACCTGTTTCACCATATAAACCTTCATATTAATATATATATATCACATCAGTGATTGTCATCTAACATTTTTTAAATTAGCAAATACATTCTTCTCTAGGTATCACTTCCTGCCACTTCCTGCTCCCTTGTGAGCACACACTGATGACATCACACTGCCTATTTAGGGCCCAACACTGGAGGACATTTTCACAATTCTGGCAACTGCCTGATGCTGCTGATTATAACTATCAGCGAAACGTCATGCCCAATTGTTCAATGTTGTGGATTGCTCTACTACACAGTGGTGTGCTGAAGCAGAAATACATTGGCACATTTGATCACGTGACATTTCTATTAAATGGCTGTGTCGAGTGGAGGAGAGTGTACAACGTGGATTTTGTTCATGTGATCTCACCCAACAATCAATAACGAATCACAATATTGATCGTGAAAATCTACCGTGCATTAAATTGATAACATGCATGTTTGTAACAACGTATAGAGGCAGATGTTGACAACTCACTGCAGTTCTGCTCGTCGCTGTAGTCTCCACAGTCGTCGGCTCCATCGCACACGAATGAGGGGGAGGTGCAAGCCCCGTTGCCACACTGGAAGGAGTCGGGTGGACAATCGGTGCAGCGGCCCTCGTCCGAGCCATCTGGGCAATCCGCATCTCCGTCACAGCGGTAGAGAGATGGGATGCACTGGCCTCCTCCGCAGCTGAACTCCCCATTCGCACAGCCTGTCCACAAAAAGTGGTAGCTTTAGTACCTACATCCAGATTAATTTCTGTTCGACTTGGCAGAACCCACCATCATCATGTAATTTATTAACGAGTTCCTGAATTGAAGATAAACCTGAAAAATTCAGAAATCGGGTCTAAATACGAAATAGCAAATGATCCGGATTGTTTGTTTTTGATTGATCCGAAAATCTGATGTCGCAAAAAGTGAAGTTACACCCATTACATTTCGTCCACGCTGTTGCCGCTGATTTGATGAGATTGATAAATTTAACACATTGCATTAATGTCATAGTTTTTCTGAATAAACTTACATTAAGTTAAACTGAATAACTATAACTCACCAGTCTCATCACATAAATATATATTTATGTGTATATTGACATATTTAACATAATCTATTATAACATAACATAACCTTCCAGTATAATTAATTCGCTATTACTAACCTGTTTCACCATATAAACCGTCATATTAATATATATCACATCAGTGATTGTGATCTAACATTTTATAATTTAGCGAATACATTAATCTCTAGGTATCACTTCCTGCCACTTCCTGCTCCCTTGTGGGCACACACTGATGACATCACACCACCTATTTAGGGCCCAACACTGGAGGACATTTTCACAATTCTGGCAACTGCCTGATGCTGCTGATTATAACTATCAGCGAAACGTCGTGCCAAATTGTTCAATGTTGTGGATTCCTCTACGACACAGTGGTGTGCTGAAGCAGAAATCCATTGGCACATTTGATCACGTGATATTTCTATTAAATGGCTATGTCGAGTGGAGGAGGGTGTACCACGTGGATTTTGTTCATGTGATCTAACCCAAAAATCAATAACGAATCACAATACTGATCGTGAAAATCTACTGTGCATTAAATTGATAACCTGCATGTTTGTAACAACGTATAGAGGCAGATGCTGACAACTCACTGCAGTTCTGCTCGTCGCTGTAGTCTCCACAGTCGTCAGCCCCATCGCACACGAACGAGGGGGAGGTGCAGGCCCCGTTGCCGCACTGGAAGGAGTCAGGTGGACAATCGGTGCAGCGGCCCTCGTCCGAGCCATCTGGGCAATCCGCGTCTCCGTCACAGCGGTAGAGAGATGGGATGCACTGGCCTCCTCCACAGTTGAACTCCCCAATCGCACAGCCTGTCCAGAAAACACACGTCTGAATGTAGTCCTGCTCACGTATGTGATTTCAACATGACAATCAATTCTAGACTATCGATGGCAGCATTATGCTGGTTTCAGATTTACTTTGCTCGTACAAAATAAATATTTTACATGCGCTGGATAATTCATTAGCTGCTCATCACTCATCGAGGACCAGCAACTCGGTGCCATTTTCACCGCACATGACGGCGAGTCGAGCGATTACGTGAAGAGGAAACAAACACAGGCAACACAATCCGTCTCTGCAATGAATTCACCGTCTTTGAATTTTATCTGGGCCACCCCTGTCCATTACCCCAGATAAGCAAGATTTCATAATGTAGCAATAACAATGAAGGTAAGTGATTAGTTGTGACATTTATTGCTTTCGCAAACGAACACGAAAGTGCAACACTCACTGCAGTTCTGTTCGTCACTGTAGTCTCCGCAGTCGTCGGCTCCATCGCACACGAACGAGGGGGAGGTGCAGGCCCCGTTGCCACACTGGAAGGAGTCGGGTGGACAATCGGTGCAGCGGCCCTCGTCCGAGCCGTCTGGGCAATCCGCGTCTCCGTCACAGCGGTAGAGAGATGGGATGCACTTGCCTCCTCTGCAGCTGAACTCCCCAATCGCACAGCCTGTCCACAAAAAGTGGTAGCTTTAGTACCTACATCCAGATGAATTTCTGTTCGACTTGACAACACCCACCATCATCACGTAATGTATTAACGAGTTCCTGAATTGAAGGTTAATCTGAAAAATTCAGAAATCGGGTCTAAATACAAAATATCAAATGATCCAGATTGTTTTTGATTGATCCGAAAATCTGATGTCGCAAAAAGTGAAGTTACACCCATTACATTTCGTCCACGCTGTTACCGCTTCTTTTGATTAGATTGATACATGTAACACATTGCATTAACATCATAGTTTTTCTGAATAAACTTACATTAAGTTAAACTGAATAACTATAACTCACCAGTCTTACCACGTAAATCTATATTTAGGTGTATATTGACATATCTAACATAATCTATTATAACATAACATAACCTTCCAGTATAATTAATTCGCTATTACTAACCTGTTTCACCATATAAACCTTCATATTAACATATATCACATCAGTGATTGTGATCTAACATTTTTTAATTTAGCGAATACATTAATCTCTAGGTATCACTTCCTGCCACTTCCTGCTCCCTTGTGGGTACACACTGATGACATCACACCACCTATTTAGGGCCCAACACTGGAGGACATTTTCACAATTCTGGCAACTGCCTGATGCTGCTGATTATAACTATCAGCAAAACGTCGTGCCCAATTGTTCAATGTTGTGGTTTGCTCTACAACACAGTGGTGTGCTGAAGCAGAAATACATTGGCACATTTGATCACGTGACATTTCTGTTAAATGGCTGTGTCGAGTGGAGGAGGGTGTACCACGTGGATTTTGTTCATGTGATCTAACCCAAAAATCAATTACGAATCACAATATTGATCGTGTAAATCTACTGTGCATTAAATTGATAACCTGCATGTTTGTAACAACGTATGGAGGCAGATGTTGACAACTCACTGCAGTTCTGCTCGTCGCTGTAGTCTCCACAGTCGTCAACCCCATCGCACACGAACGAGGGGGAGGTGCAGGCCCCGTTGCCGCACTGGAAGGAGTCCGATGGACAATCGGTGCAGCGGGTCTCGTCTGAGCCGTCTGGGCAGTCCGTGTCTCCATCGCAGACGTACAGAGATGGGATGCACTGGCCTCCTGCTCTGCAGCTGAACTCCCCCAGCACGCAGCCTGTCCAGAAAAAGGTGAATTAACGTAGGTCCACTTGTGCAAGCGATGTCGTGATTGTTCACAACAACTCTCGTGTAGCTGCTGTCGCGATGGCAGTGGTACGCAAGCACGGGCAACAAACACTCGCCACATTGGTGAATGACACTTCTGAAAACATCAATCAAATAAACAACGTTTCGTGCTTCGGTATCAAGGCCCTTCTTTCACTCTCTTATGAAGAAGGGCCATTGCCTGATACGTCGCCTCATATCCGTTCATTTCATTGACAAACGTGCAGAGTTTTAGCTTTTCAGAGTATTACAAAGCTTCAGTAAGACAACGGTTTGGGGGTGGAGCGGTGGCGCAGTGGTTAGCGCACTGAAATATAAAACCGGCAAACCTGAGTTCAATTCCCATCCATGGCCATTAACATGAAAGCAGCACGACATCTGAGCAGGCATTAGGCCTTCTCTTCACCGACCCACACTCAACGGCGAGTTTAGGTTTCAGCCAAACGATCTTCCTCAATACGGCGCATGGACAACTATTCATCCAGCAGTGAAGTAGCACAGGACTGTAATTTATTTCCCATCAATAATTGCTTAGAATACGACGTGCAACGCAATCGTTTTGTGTGGCCCAACGTAAGCACGCGAAGGTTCATAACTCACTGCAGTTCTGCTCGTCGCTGTAGTCTCCACAGTCGTCGGCTCCATCGCACACGAACGAGGGGGAGGTGCAGGCCCCGTTGCCGCACTGGAAGGAGTCGGGTGGACAATCGGTGCAGCGGCCCTCGTCCGAGCCGTCTGGGCAATCCGCGTCTCCGTCACAGCGGTAGAGAGATGGGATGCACTGGCCTCCTCTGCAGCTGAACTCCCCAATCGCACAGCCTGTCCACAAAAAGTGGTAGCTTTAGTACCTACATCCAGATGAATTTCTGTTCGACTTGACAACACCCACCATCATCACGTAATGTATTAACGAGTTCCTGAATTGAAGGTTAATCTGAAAAATTCAGAAATCGGGTCTAAATACAAAATATCAAATGATCCAGATTGTTTTTGATTGATCCGAAAATCTGATTTCGCAAAAAGTGAAGTTACACCCATTACATTTCGTCCACGCTGTTACCGCTTCTTTTGATTAGATTGATACATGTAACACATTGCATTAACATCATAGTTTTTCTGAATAAACTTACATTAAGTTAAACTGAATAACTATAACTCACCAGTCTTACCACGTAAATCTATATTTAGGTGTATATTGACATATCTAACATAATCTATTATAACATAACATAACCTTCCAGTATAATTAATTTGCTATTACTAACCTGTTTCACCATATAAACCTTCATATTAACATATATCACATCAGTGATTGTGATCTAACATTTTTTAATTTAGCGAATACATTAATCTCTAGGTATCACTTCCTGCCACTTCCTGCTCCCTTGTGGGTACACACTGATGACATCACACCACCTATTTAGGGCCCAACACTGGAGGACATTTTCACAATTCTGGCAACTGCCTGATGCTGCTGATTATAACTATCAGCAAAACGTCGTGCCCAATTGTTCAATGTTGTGGTTTGCTCTACAACACAGTGGTGTGCTGAAGCAGAAATACATTGGCACATTTGATCACGTGACATTTCTGTTAAATGGCTGTGTCGAGTGGAGGAGGGTGTACCACGTGGATTTTGTTCATGTGATCTAACCCAAAAATCAATTACGAATCACAATATTGATCGTGTAAATCTACTGTGCATTAAATTGATAACATGCATGTTTGTAACAACGTATGGAGGCAGATGTTGACAACTCACTGCAGTTCTGCTCGTCGCTGTAGTCTCCACAGTCGTCAACCCCATCGCACACGAACGAGGGGGAGGTGCAGGCCCCGTTGCCGCACTGGAAGGAGTTCGATGGACAATCGGTGCAGCGGATCTCGTCTGAGCCGTCCGGGCAGTCCGTGTCTCCATCGCAGACGTACAGAGATGGGATGCACAGGTCTCCTGCTCTGCAGCTGAACTCTCCCAGCACGCAGCCTGTCCAGAAAAAGGTGGATTAACGTAGGTCCACTTGTGCAAGCGATGTCGTGATTGTTCACAACAACTCTCGTGTAGTTGCTGCCACGATGGCAGTGGTACGCAAGCACGGACAACAAACACTCGCCACATTGGTGAATGACACTTCCGAAAACGTCAATCAAATAAATAACGTTTCGCGCTTCGGTATCAAGGCCCTTCTTTCATTCTCTTATGAAGAAGGGCCATTGCCTGATACGTCGCCTCATATCCGTTCATTTCATTGACAAACGTGCAGAGTTTTTGCTTTTCAGAGTATTACAAAGCTTCAGTAAGACAACGGTTTGGGGGTGGAGCGGTGGCGCAGTGATTAGCGCACTGAAATATAAAATCGGCAAACCTGAGTTCAATTCCCATCCATGGCCATTAACATGAAAGCCGCACGATATCTGAGCAGGCATTAGGCCTTCTCTTCACTGACTCACACTCAATGGCGAGTTCAGGTTTCAGCCAAACAATCTTTATCAATATGGCGCATGGACAAGTATTCATCCAGCAGTGAAGTAGCACAGGACTGTAATTTATTTCCCATCAATAATTGCTTAGAATACGACGTGCAACGCAATCGTTTTGCGTGGCCCAACGTAAGCACGCGAAGGTTCATAACTCACTGCAGTTCTGCTCGTCGCTGTAGTCTCCACAGTCGTCGGCTCCATCGCACACGAACGAGGGGGAGGTGCAGGCCCCGTTGCCACACTGGAAGGAGTCGGGTGGACAATCCGTGCAGCGGCCCTCGTCCGAGCCATCTGGGCAATCCGCGTCTCCGTCACAGCGGTAGAGAGATGGGATGCACTGGCCTCCTCCGCAGCTGAACTCTCCAATCGCACAGCCTGTCCGGAAAACTCGGCTGAATGTAATCCTGCTCACGGATGTGATTTCAAAATGACAAAAAAATTTCGACTATCCATGGCAGTTTAATCCTGGTTTGAGGTTTGCTATGCTTGTACAAAATATATATTTCGCATGCGCTGGTTAATTCATGAGCTGCTTCTCACTCATCGAGGGCCAGCAACTCGGTGCCATTGTGACCGCACACGACGGCGAGTCAAGCAATTACTTGAAGAAGGAGAAGAAACCAACGCAGAGGTGCAGCACTCACTGCAGTTCTGCTCGTCGCTGTAGTCTCCACAGTCGTCGACGCCGTCGCACACGAACGAGGGGGAGGTGCAGGCCCCGTTGCCGCAGGTGAACGAGTCGCGTGGACACTGCGTGCAGATCTCGTCCGAGCCGTCAGGGCAGTCCGTGTCTCCGTCGCAAACGTAGAGATTTGGGATGCACAGGCCTCCTCCTCTGCAGCTGAACTCCCCCAGCACACAGCCTGGAAGAGATACAAACAAAGGAACGGACACATCTTTCACGACGCCTTCACCGGTCGTACTGCGTGTCGTTTCACCTGCCGGGGAGTTTCTTCGGGAACTGAACATCTGTCTGAATTGTCATGATATCGAATTCAGTTCCTGATCAAGCTCCCAGCAAGTGGAGCGAAACGTCGGACATAAAGCCGGACAGCACGCGCTAATACTGGGCATACGGCGCACCTGCAAAACATCTCCAAAGTAGTTGCCGAAAAGGCAACGATATAGATCATGTGACACTTGTAAATCAGGCTACAACAATCTATTGTTAATCTCGCAGCATGTGGATGAACGTGTAGACTCGGTCGTTTTTAATTGTTTCTTAAAGTAATCCGTTGAGCTCACGGACATTTCCCCATCACAAGTCTGTCGCCCTCGACGAGTGAAGGGCGGCGAATGATGAAGCCAGCGTGCACCTAAATATATTTTCGCTTTATTTTTTTTTACCAGCGTGGTTCATCCTCAACCATCCTGGCCATGGATTAACCCACGGATAATCAAGAGTGTACAGACCACGTATGATGTAACAAAAAAACGACCACAGCGTGATTATTTATACCGCTAAAGCCTCCCATGCAGTGCATCTGGAAGCGCCAGAAGAGGAGTGGTGGCATTTGACGTCATTGCTCTGTAAGGGGAGTGATTGCGGACCAAGCATGTTGTTTTTGTTGTTGTGGTTGTTGTTATTGTTGTTCAAAACGACGACCTCTGCGAAACCGTTTGGCCCAACCTAAGTGACTCTGCGTCTCAGCAACTCACTGCAGTTCTGCTCGTCGCTGTAGTCCCCGCAGTCGTCAGCTCCGTCGCACACGAACGAGGGGGAGGTGCAGGCCCCGTTGCCGCAGGTGAACGAGTCGCGTGGACACTGCGTGCAGATCTCGTCCGAGCCATCTGGGCAGTCCGAGTCACCATCACAGCGGTAAAGAGATGGGATGCACTGGCCTCCTCCGCAGCTGAATTCCCCAATCGCACAGCCTGTCCAGAAAACACACGACTGAATGTAGCCCTGCTCACGTATGTGATTTAAAAATAACAATACATTTTCAATTTTCCGTGGCCGCATGATCCAGCTTGCGGATTAACTGTGCTTGCAAACAATATATTTATTTCACACGCGCTCGTTCATTCATGAGCTGCTCCTCACTCGTCGATGGCCGGCGACTCGGTGCCATTCTGACCGCACACGACGGCGAGTCGAGCGATTGTTCAAAGAACAAGAAGATGAAGAAACGAACGCAGAGGTGTTGCACTCACTGCAGTTCTGCTCGTCGCTATAGTCCCCGCAGTCGTCGGCTCCGTCGCACACGAACGAGGGGGAGGTGCAGGCCCCGTTGCCGCAGGTGAACGAGTCGCGTGGACACTGCGTGCAGATCTCGTCCGAGCCGTCCGGGCAGTCCGTGTCTCCGTCGCAAACGTAGAGATTTGGGATGCACAGGCCTCCTGCTCCCCCGCAGGTGAACTCCCCCAGCACGCAGCCTGCGGAAACGTGCGGTTAAGGCGAGCGTCTGATTTTGCGCGTAATATAAATTTACTTTTGATCACGATTGTTGACCACAGGCCCAACGGCGGTAAACGCCAAGCGACCGGCAATGGGCAGCGCTGTCCAAGGTGGCTCAGAGGTCGAGCAGGCGAAAAAGGTCGCGAGTTCAAATTCTGGTTGGGAATTGACTCAGCCCATCATCCCTCCGGGGTCTATAAAATATGTACCACTTTGTGAGTAAGTCAACAGTGGTTATTATATCGAGAGACTTTCCCCTGTCATGGTCTATAAAAACTAAACGACTAAAACTATATATTTTTTTTATTTCACCAGGTAAGGCCCACTAAGCTATATAGCTCTGTTTCAGAAGCGACCTGGCCACAAATGATAGCTCAACGAAGTGGCTTATAATGTAGAAATTTATAGCAGCCAAATACTCTAAACGCGTGACGTCGATCCTAAATGTGAAGGGAAAAACCGGAAGAACCGGAGAAAAATCCACGTGACCACGGGGAGAGAGACGCAAACTCCAAATATACAGCAAACGTCAGGGTCGGGATTGAACTCACGACCTCCTGGGCACCAGGCGAGGTAGTGAACATCTCGCCACCGTGGCGCCCCAACACTGACTCAGGGCTCTAAACGAGAGATGGGCACTCTGCCTGAATGCGCATGGGGGCACGAGACCTCCTTCACGAATTGAGCAAGGTTATCAGAGCTTTGAGAATAGAAACGATTATGGGAGGAGGGGATTCCAAAGTGGAGCAGGTTGAGAGTAGAAGCAGAAGATAAGTGTTGTGACCTGCAGTGTCGTGAGTGGGTGAATGCGTTAGTGGGTGGGTTGGTGGGAGAGTATGTAATTGGCTAGGTTAGGGGGTGAGTGAGTTGGCGAGTGAGGGTTTGAATGAGTGGGCGAGTATGCTGTTGTGCCCCGGCGGTTGAACACAGAGTGGTGGGCGAGACAAAGCAGCCGGTCCGGTTGACCGTGTCCTCAGCACGAGCGGAGCAATCGACGGGTGAAGTTGCACGGGAACAGCAACCGCGGCAGTGACTACCATTGTGTCGGGAACGCGTTACAACAACAACGACGTCGAATGAGAGCTTTTGTCTGGCAGCAGCGTACGCGTTGTTGAACTTCTTTAGCAAATCGCAACGCGCGTAGCCAACCGTGCTCATCGGAGGTGCGGGGTAAAGACAGCGCACAAAGCGCCAAAGACAGTTGTAAAGGAATTTGAAAGCGCCAAAAACAGCTGTAAAGGAATTTAAAAGCGCCAAAAACAGCTGTAAAGGATATATATTCTTAGTTCTTTCGGTAAAGTCACGTTGTTTATATATATTTTATTATTTTGTTGTTTCCTTTCAACGTGACTTTACCGAAAGAACTAAGAATATGAATTACTGCCGTCACGAAAGCTTTAAATCAAAAGTTGTAAAGGAATTTCAAAGCGCAGGGGGCCCCAGGGGCTTCCTAATATCGGACGGGAGAACGAGAAAGCACGTGACGGCGCTCACTGCAGTTCCTCTCGTCGCTGCCGTCTCCGCAGTCGTCGACCCCGTCGCACGCGAACGCCGACGAGGTGCACGCCGCGTTGGCGCAGGCGAACGCTCCGGGCGCACACTCGGCGCAGTCCCGCTCGTCCGAGCCGTCGAGGCAGTCCGCGTGTCCGTCGCAGCGCTCGCCCGACGGGACGCACTGCCCGCCGTGGCCGCCTCCGCAGCGGAACTCGTCCGCTCCACAGCCTCGTCGCGGGGGAAATGACAACAACAACAACAACAAAAAACACTCACGCACTTTGCGTTTAACGCGGAGATGTTGACTGCGACGTGAATGGGCTCGATCGCAGAGCACGCGACAATGAGGGGCGGCCGTCAGGGATCTGTCTGGGTCGGCGACGCGCAAAGAACCGAGCCCGCACCCGGCACGGCGCGTCCGGTGCACCGCCTCTCGACGTGGCTGCTGCCACGAATGGTCGCGTGCCACCACCTACTGCAAATCTTACTTCGAACCCAGGAAAATATGCAGGAAGAAATCGAACCTCGTATTTTGCCAGATGTGTTGCTTGGTTGTGAGACTTGTGCCCCTGAATGCAATGTCTTGAATTGAGTCAAGGACGAGATTTCAAAATAAAACTCCAGAGCATCCCGATTAAAGACAGGCAGCACAGAGCTCTCCTTCATATGCCCCGACATCTATACCTCTATCCCTTCTTTTGTTGTAATCTCGCAAAAAAAGGAGTCAAAGTGATTTTGCGCTCAAATGAGCAGCAATTGAGACGGTGCTCAACTCGCACGTTTACAGGCCTGAGCTGGTGGTGGAAATGCCACGTTCCTATGGCGGGGGAGGGGAGGGTGCGAAATGTTAACTCCCTCGCCTGGTATGCAGGAGGCCGTGGGTTCGATCCCGACCCTGACGCCTGCTGCTGCTGTATATTTGGAGTTTGTGTCTCTCTTTCCCCGTGGTCGCCTGGATCTTTCTCCGGGTCCTCCGGTTTTCCCCTCCACATTTAGAATCAACATCGCACATTTAGAGTATTTGACTGCTGTACATTTCCACGCGATGAGCCCACTTCGTTGAGCTATCATTTGTGATAGCCAGGTCGCTTCTGAACAAAGAGCTATACATAGCTCAGTGGGGCCTTACTTTGTAAAATAAAAAGTACTTTCGATTTTTGTTCAATAGGACAACCACTGGCGTCTGCCATCTTGCTCAGAGTTCGTCAACTGAAAGCGAGTTGGCCCAAATAACAACCATGAATATATATCTCTTCGGCCCCCTCCACACAACGCCCCCCCCCACCCCCGCCACGTGGGGGGGGGGGGGGGTGTAGAGGAGTTCGACGGCGCCGGGACTCACTGCAATTGGCCTCGTCGCTGCTGTCGCCACAGTCATCGACGCCGTTGCACGCGAGCGACGCGGGGAGGCAGGAGCCGTTCGTGCAGGCGACGGTGCCACGCGGGCACGGGCAGCCCAGCTCGTCCGAGGCGTCCGCGCAGTCCGCGACGCCGTCGCAGCGCCTCTCCGCCGGCCAGCACTCCGCCGACGAGCATCGGAACACGTCCCCCGTGCAGTCTGCGCGCGCACAAGGACGGAGATTGCCCTCCTCACCGTGTCGCCTTCTCCGTCAAGCAGCGTAGACCAACATCGCGTGAACTCCGGTCACCCTCGCGGCAGCAGCAGCGGCTATTGGCTAGCCGTCGCGCGCGCTTTCGGATGCGCTTCTGCGGCCGTCTGGAACGCTCTTCCTTCCGATATTAGGAAGCCGCTGGAGCTGTGTGCGTTTACATCATCCAGATTGAAAACTGATTTATTCAGAACTGCTTTATGTGTTTAGTTTGTTGTCCTTCGCTCACACCTCCAATTCGCACGGTTGGTTACGTACGGTGCGAAAGAAGTTTAACACACACACATGACAGACTGTTGGGGCAAGCGCTGTTAGCGAGCACCTATTAAACACGGTACGCGAGAGGGTGGGTAGCCGGCATCACGCCCAGCCGCCAATGTCTCACCAATGCTGGTGTTTACACACCGCAACTAGATGGTCATTTGAGGCTGAGTCGACCTGGCGTGGGACATCACCGCTTTAGATATTCGTCACTGCTGTTGGCCGTGAGCTGGACTCAAACTCGGATGGCTTGCATGTATAGTGCACTGCGCTGATCGCTACACCACTGCTCCCCGCATCATCACACACATGCCTGTTCATGCAGTCAGCCAATTTTACTCCAGTCGTCCTCCTATTCTAGTCGACGACGGACTGTGGAATTCTAGTCGAGTCTTGGTCGCACAACAGAATCAGAATTGTTATTTGGAGCGGTGGAATCCGATGAGCTATGAAGCTCTTTATCACAAATGTCCAGCAGACGAGCGGGAAGGCACCAATCGGGCTGTGGGCCAAGCTCTGCGGTTCTCTAAATGATAAGATGTTTTCAGCCAGCTAATCAGTGCCGGATTATCTTAGGAGAAAAAGTAGCTACATATGTAGTAGCTACGGGCCCCGCACTTTTAAGGGCCCCGCGCTAAATGCTTTCAAGCTATCAATTCCGGTTCAGTGATTCTGCACTTGCGCGATTACTATAGTACGATACCGCCTTCAACTTTTATGAACGACTGGGTGTTTAAGGTTAGACATTTGTCGTATTATCTGGCTGTACAGCAAATGAAAAAAATACAATTACTTTACGATGCAAGTTAAAAAGGTGTTTTATTATTTACGTGTTTTTTTGTTATTTAGGGCCCCTTTATAACATATGATACGGCCCCGCACGAGCTTCATCCGGCACTGCAGCTGATGTTTATGCACGTGGGTGGAAACCGGAGCACCCGGAGACAATCCACGTGCGCTGACACAATCGTATTTGGCCCGTGGTTAGACGCTCGTTACACGTGCCGATTTTATAGTTTGTGGCCGTGCCGGGTTGGTGGAGCATATTACCAACAACAAGATGTGGCCAGATCATTCCGTGGCCGAACCCCAAAATATCGCAGTATTGGCTGCTCACCCAAACGTTGAAAAAATATGCCATTTACAAACTGAGTAACTTGCAGAAAGGTTTTGTCGGGTTTCGTTCACTTTCCTCTATTACAACGGTGGGGGGCTACCCCCCTCCCCAAGCCCCCCCCCCCCCACCCCTCGCCCCGAACAGCGCTCCGCCTGCGGCGGCCTCATCACGACGTCGCACTCGCCCACTTACTGCAGCGCGCTTCGTCGGAGGAATCGGCGCAATCCGGCATGCCGTTGCACACCAACTTGTGGTGTAAGCACGTCGCGTTCACGTGGCCGGGCGAGCAGCTGAACGAGCTGTTGGAGGTGCAGGGACACGACGCCTCGTCCGACGAGTCCGCGCAATTGTACTCCCCATCGCACCACGCCGTGAGCGGGACGCACACGAGGTCCGAGCACTCGAACCGGTCGGGAGCGCAGGCTGCAGGGGAGGAGAAGGGGGGAGGAGGAGGGAGACGAAACGGCGACGTCTCCGTGAACCACACTGCCCGCGTCCGAGTAGCGATCGAGCAGTGGCAGCGACAAGGAGATTTGAGGCGGCGTGTTCAGGACGGTGACGACCCGCGCGGTTCAGTGCGGCCGTGACGGATCGCTGAGCGGATGGATCGGCGCTTGGCAGAGACAGAGTCTGTCTCTACAGCTCGCAACCGGTTGCGCAACCGATTGCGAGCGGTTGCGCAACCGGTTGCAACTGCTCGCTGGGACGTCCGCGTGTGATTCAGTTGCATGCAACCAAGTTGGCACAATCGATTGCTTAGATGTGGAACCACGTGGTTTTTTGTTTTGTTATCATGGGACCTTTTTGCCAGTATCCTAGTATGAAAAATAAGAATAGGTTTAATCCATTTTGGTAAATAGAACAGTTGTTAAGTTGTTCAAAACACCACATACATACCTTTTGCAAGGTAAGATGGCTGTCTTTGATGTAGGCCAATCAGTTTCAAAGACAATGCATATGTTATCAGAGCATGTTTATTTGCATGTTCACTACAAGTACGTGTGGTCAATGCAGACTTTAACATCGTATAACACCTCAGTTTAACACGTAGGCTTTCGCGACCGATATTCATAATAAAGGTTTTTGGGTTAGATCGCGTAAGTATGTGTCGTAACCCACCACCACCCGACACAGCCAGCAATATTTGTCACGTAAACAAAACGCGCCAATTAGTAACAACTTCAGCCCACTGGTGTGTTGGAGAGTAAATCCACAACATTTACAATTCACCCGATGACACTGGTAGATGTGATTACCCACGAAACGTCGTTACTCGAATTGTAAATGTTGTGGATTCACTCTCCTACACACCAGTGAGCTGAAGTAGTAAACTAATTGGCGCGTTTTGTTTACGCGACAACCCTTACTGGCTGTGCCGGGTGGTGGAGGGTTACGACACATGTATACTTAAGCAATCTAACCCAAAAACCTTCATTATTAATCTAAACACCTGTTTTATAGCCAGATCGGGTAAAAACTATTCTCATTTCACTTTTTTTTAGACCACGTTTATCTCTTTTCCACAACTTCACGCTATCGACACTGCATCGTGAGACAACCCCCGTTCAGATCCCCGCCCCCCCCCCCCCCCCCCCCCCCCCCCCCCCCGGCAGAGCCACGCGGCCCTCCTCCGTGTTCGAGAAGGACGCGCGGACGTGGCAACTGCAGAGCTACCGCTGGGATCCCTGCGCAAAAGGCCAAAAAAAGACAGCGAGACGACTTAACCTGACGTGGCTGACTCAGCAGGCGACGCGAGGCCTCGGTTTGGTGACCCTAATCTGGGAGAGGCCACATGGGGTGGCTGACGGAGAAAGGGGAGGCAGAGAGAGAGAGAGACCTGGGAGGGGATTGGCGAGAGATGGATGAGTGAAGGGGGATTGTAGGAGAGATACAAACGCAACGGGCGGGGAACGAACGTCGACTGACAGGAGAGCGATTGAGAGCCGCTGGAGAAGGGGGGTGGGGTGGGGGGAGCATGAGGATTGGCTGTGACAAGTAAGTCGGGGAACTACTATACTCATTGGTTCTTTCGGTAAAGTCACGTATGTAGAAATAAAATAAAATAAAAAATTTAAATAGATCACGACGTTTCGAACGCAACACAAGCGCTCGTCATCAGGTGAAAATGTCGAAAACCACACAGCGAGGGAACACACAGAGGGACATCACACACAGAGCACAGAGAGAACGGCTAAACTGCACGGAGGCAAATACAGCAAGAAGACGTTAGACGCTAACTCAGCAAACCTTAGAAACATAATGCGATGCAAACCAGTCGGCCAACAACACAGTTAGACACTAACCTGGTTGACATCACTTTAAGATGTTTTCTTGTTCATGTTTTTGTTTGTTGCGGTTGCACCCGATTCAAGAGCCGAATGGCTCACAGGGCTATACCAAATAAATGAACTATGGAACTTAATTTTATTGTATTTTTACATACGTGTCTCTACCGAAATAACCAATGAGTATCGTAATTCCTGCAGTCACGAAAGCTTACGTCCTAGATTAAGTCGGGGAACCTTGGAGAAATGGGGGGGGGGGGGGGGGGCTCGAGGGATATAAATCGGGGAAGCACAAGGGGAGGAGACGCTTAGAGAGGAGACTCAGCTCTGCTCGAGGACAGTGTCGACTACAAAACATTCTTCATAATTGATCATTGAATGGCGCGTGCCGCTCGTCATTACACCTTCGAGTGCCCTCTGGGGCGCGGCATTTACTGACGCGCTCTGCCACAGAGGTTAATGTTTGTCACGTGATAGTCGTGCCAAGATTTGCTTTTGTTCTCTGAGCTGGGGACTCGCCAAATGAAGCGGGAATCAAACTTGATTGGGTGCATTTGTGCAGTAACCAGGAATCAGACTGAGACCACTAACGCCTCTGCACTTGACAACCCCAGTTCACTCCTCGTCAGCTGCCAGAACCTCAGCCCGGCCGCCGACGACTGCATCACATTTGTCTCCGCGCTTAATTGTCGAACTGTGTAATAAATAAATAAATATGCCGTGAGTTTACCCGTCATGCGCCGAACATTCCCTACGCAACACAGCTGATGGGAAAGTGCTGTGCCCCACCCTCCCCACCCCATCATTTGAACCACAATGCACTTGGAAGCGGAGCTCAGAAGAAGTTCTGCGGTATCTACTTTCCGCCGATACATTTTCCCACAGGGGCGGGGACTTTTCAGACTTGGCTCAGGTTCACCAGAGGCAATGGGCACCGCCACCACTGCGCCTTTGAGAAGGAGGCTGTGGTGGGGAGGGGAGGGGCGTTCACTATTGTGACGTCACTAGAAGCAGCCCAAGGGGGATCTGCAACTTCCTCGAGGCACGGCTGATTTGTATGAATCTGCTTTGCATATGTCCGTCACTTCCACTCCAGATTCCCCCACCCCCCGCAGCCTTTAACAGACTGACAGGTCGACCATTATATAGTTATTTCCTTTTAAGGGCCACGGTGTTTCTTACGAATGCGTTGAGTCTATTTTTGTTTCGTTATTTAACACGCATGCGGGGAGCGGTGGCGCAGTGGTTGGCGCACCGTCAGCAGTTTACGCAAGTGGCACGGGGGGACCTGCGCTGGCCAGATTGGTGAAGTATGGTCAAACCACTAGCTATGGCCGACGCGGCGTGTGAAGGAAGGCCTTGATCCAGCAGCGCATCAAAACGAGTTATCTGTACATTGTTCATCTTCGTCATTCGCCGTGATCTATCCACCGCTGGATGAAGGCCTCCACACGCCGATGCCACAATCTATCGCACGCCTGCACACACAGAAGCCATCGCCTCCCGCGGTGGCCGTCCTCACAGGCCCGTTCCCTCCTTCGGCTGCTAAGTCGACATCAGTTTCATCACTGTTGCATGAGAAACGAATGAAAGCCGTTGTGATTGGACGATGATGATGATGATGAGCTCGTTCAACGCGCCAGGTGAATGTTTTAACAGTCATGCGCCAGGCCTCTTGCGCAATAATGCGTGGAGTCGCGAGAACTCACGATTTTGCTTTGACATCTCCGCTAAAGATCAAAGCGCAGTTACAATTTTTGTGACCTTTTTGCCAATATCACATTGATTAAAAAACGAGCAGCTTACACCCTGTCTTACTTATTGGCAGAAAAGGTAAAGCCTATTCTTATTTTTTCATCATAAAGGCGCAGCCCTGCAATAGCTTGCTTCTCTCCACTGCTGGCGGACGGACATTCACTACTCTAGGGAGACCCCTAGAGGGGTGATCTCAGGCTACGCTTCCACGCTGGCGAGACGTCTTGGAAGGAGATGGGGGGGGGGGGGTACTCACACTTTACCCCACCACACGTGACCAGCTGTAGGGAAGTGGAACGTTAATCGCTGGCTCAGGGCCGCCAACATTGCTGCTTTATGCAGCTCAAATAGAACGACTGAGGCGATGGTAGAGGCTCAGGGTAGTCGAGTTGGCGATTATTGGGGACGCAGTGACCGTCTCCTCACCTGAACTACCCCGAATCCTCACTCCAACCCTTACCAATACCCTGACCCTAACCCAGCCCTTACCAATACCCTAACCCAACCCTTACCAATACTCTAACCCAACCCTTACCAATACTCTAACCCAACCCTTACCAATACCCTAACCCAAACCAGACCACTTCCCCCTAACCCTCACCGGACTTATTAACCCAACACCATTAACCCATAACCATTACCTAAAACCCTTACCAGCATCCATACTCTCGCATGACCAACTCTCCTAAACTATCAACAACCCTTACCCCTAACCCTTGCCATACTCCTTAACCCCTCAACCTGACCTTCACCTGAACACCTCGCCTGACACTTCATAACCCTTACCCCCTAGCCCTCACCCCCTAACCCTCGCCCCCTAGCCCTCACCCCCTAGCCCTCACCCCCTAGCCCTCACCCCCTAGCCTTCACCCCCTAACCCTTACCCCCTAGCCCTCACCCCCTAGCCCTCACCCCCTAGCCCTCACCCCCTAGCCCTCACCCCCTAGCCCTCGCCCCCTAACCCTTACCCCCTAACCCTCACCCCCTAGCCCTCACCCCCTAACCCTCGCCCCCTAGCCCTCACCCCCTAGCCCTCACCCCCTAGCCCTCACCCCCTAGCCCTCACCCCCTAACCCTTACTCCCTAGCCCTCACCGTCTAACCCTGGCCAGAATAATGATGAAGCGCTAATCCTGACTCGGCCGCCTCACCGGACATAACTCGAACCCTCGCCCCCTAACCCTAACGCTCGCCGCCCCCCTAACTCTACCCCCCCCCCCCCTCCCATGACCTGGCCACTTCACCTGAGGAGCGAGCCGAGGGGATCGCGGCGGCGGCGAGGAGGAGGAGGAGCGGCACCCAGAGCGGAGCCACGGCACCTCCCGCCGTCATTTCTCTCGAGAAGTCGCGGCCGACGAACCAGGCGGGAAACGATCGATCGCTTTAAACGTGTTCGCAATTACGCCTCTATATCTCCCTCGTATGTGTGTGGCGATACAGCCAACTCGGTTGCAATGTCAGAGTCGTGTCAAGCGACGCAGCGGCAGCAGCTGGGACGGCTTCAGCCGACTGTGGACGAACTGGTTCTGCCTCGGCTGCTTGGGCCGCATGCCGACGAGTGTCAATATCACGACTCACCTCCAACACTGCTTGCCTCGATCCTCCCCCCCCCACCCCCCAACAGCGAGCCACTCCCATAACCGGAAAGTCCACGCGTGCGTTTTTCATACCTGCGGGGTCAGCGTGTCACGTGGAGGCTACAGGGGAGCGTCGGTGTCGTGGCTATCGCGCTGCGCTACGAAGCCGGCGGCGCAGCTGCGATGGGTCAGCCCGTCGCGGTGTGTGTCGAGTGCTCGTCTGGTGAAGCACAACAACCAACTTGAAACTGCGATCCAGACACCGCGCGGACTCGGCCCTGCTTAGCGTGCGGGATCCTACGATGCAGGGCGCGTACCGGGTGGCGTGGTCTCACGCTGTCTCGAAGCGACACAAGTTTGGGTTAAATTCGTTAACATTTTGCTGGATACACATAATAGCAAGTACTGTAACTTAGGAGCGGTGGCGTAGTGGTTAGCGCACTATCCCCTCTGAACCCACGCTCCCTGAGTTCGATTCCAGACCACGGCTAACATCACGTGAATTGGTTCTGGGCGCCCGCTTCAGCAGCGCCCATGACCGACACGGCTTGTGGAGGCCTTCATCCAGCAGTAGATCGACAAAAGGACTGCAATGGCAAAAACTGTATTGACAAACAATGGGTTATTATTATTCTTATCATTGCAAAGGGGTTCGAAATTGTTGCTCTACTTCATTTTATTGTTGAGATGTTGTCATATTGATGACCCAGGTCACGCTTGCAACTGAAACGCTATATCCTGGTCTCTTGAGCTCCCGCGCCTGGTGAAATGTCATTTCTGTATGACGGCTTTTTTAGTTGTGTTTAGTTTGTTGTACGGTGCGAAAGAAGTTCAACATACATACATGGAATCGACTCTAAATGTCTCAGCACCCTCCACCACAGCCTCGATCTTCTTGTTCCCTTTCCCCCCTTGCTGTGCTCTTCACTTGGCAGTCCGCCGGTATTGCGCAAGCAAGTGGCAGCTGTTGTGAATACCTCGAATGACTTTCCAGAACGATGGGTGTGGAATGAATTGGTGAAATGTCTCCCTGCCTCACCGCGAAGCGCTACGTGCAGGCAAGCAGGCGGTCACAGCAGCAACAGCAGCAGCCAGCATCTGTCACGCAATTACCCTCTTCCCTATACTTCTGGCCAGCATGGAAGAGTAGGTCAAATACCCTTTTTGAGTCCAGCGATTGGGGGTGCAGCGATTGGAGTGATGTGGTCTCCTTTAGGGTGCGGGTGGCAATTCGGGCCAGTGGTGGTGGTGGTGCCGGCCCATTGCGGTCACTGAGCTGAAATTATTGTTGGATCCAACCCGCCCCATCCCCCCCTTTCAAATCATAAAACTCCCCGTGAGATGACGGAAGAGATAGAGACAAGGGCTAGAGATGTGGTGAGATGAGAGAAGAGGAGAGATGCGGACACGATAGGGATGACATACATTAATTGGTGATTTATATCATCTTGTTGTGTTTATTAACATTTGGGATGATATTTGTTTGGTTCAGCTCTACGTGTTTTAATGAAGAGGGACCCCTCCCCTCACCTCAATGCTCTCATTGCCAAGCCGCCACCACTGTCCTGCAGCGGCGTTTTTAAATAAATGATGAAAACGCCAAGCGGCCAGAAGCGAACGGCACGGTTAAAGTTGTAAATATGTACTCTTTCTTGATTTCATTCTTGATTTAAAGCTTTCGTGACTGCAGGAATCAATACTCTTTGTTTATTTCGGTAAAGTCACGTAGGTAGAAAAAAATTGATCACGACGTTTGGATCGCCACACAAGCGTCCGTCATCAGGTGGGAGAGGTTCTGTGTGGCGATCGAAACGTCGTAATCTATATATTTTTTTCTACCTACGTGACTTTACCGAAAGATCCAACGAGTATGGATTCCTGCAGTTACGAAAGCTTCAAATAAAGATTGTAAATAGATGTGTTGAAACCAAACACGTTTACGCGTGCGTCAATTCATCCCCCCTCCCCGAGCCAGTAAAATAACCGGACCGGTGGGTTTCTGTGTGAAGCGGGATCACAAAACCAACAAGGCTGTGTCACAGTGTCGTGGAGTCGTGCTACGCAGCAACGGACGCGTTTGTGGTGGTGGGGTGGTGGTGGTGGGGTGGTGGTGGTGGTGGGGTGGTGGTGGGGTGGTGGTGGGGTGGTGGGGTGGTGGTGGGGTGGTGGTGGGGTGGTGGTGGTGGTGGGGTGGTGGTGGGGTGGTGGTGGTGGTGGGGTGGTGGTGGTGGGGTGGTGGTGTGGTGGTGGTGGGGTGGTGGTGGGGTGGTGGTGGTGGTGGGGTGGTGGTGGGGTGGTAGTGGTGGTGGGGTGGTGGTGGGGTGGTGGTGGTGGTGGGTGGTGGTGGTGTGGTGGTGGGATGGAAGTGGGGTGGTAGTGGTGGGGTGGTGGTGGCGACGCGTGATGGTGGGCGAACAGGCGTGGAATGCGCACACACACCCTGACCTCCTGCATCCAAGGTCACTGTCCCTCGAGCCACAAAGGGAACGATGCAGACAATTGTTTTACTTTACAAATTATTTGCATTACATTGTATTTGTTACTAGGTTTGATTTTTTTCATCGGGGTGGGGGGGGGGGGGGGAGCGCCGCGGTGATGAGATGTTAACCACCTCGCCCGGTCTACAGGAGGTCGTGGGTTCGATCCCGACCCTGACGCCTGCTGCTGTATATTTGGGGTTTGCATGTTCTCCCCGTGGTTGCGTGGATTTTTCTCCGGGTCCTCCGGGGTTTTCCCTCCACATTTATAAACGTCACGCGTTTCTGGCTGATATAAATGTCGACGTGATAAGCCACTTTGTTGAGCAATAATTTGTGGCCAGGTCGCTTCTGAAACAGAGCTCGAAAGCTCAGTGGGTCTTACCTGGTCAAACACAAGCAATAGTTTCGTTCTTCTTTGGTTCTTTCGGTAAAGTCACGTAGAATGAGAATGAAATAATACATTGATAAAATAAAATAACACAATAATATTCTCACGACGTTTCGGCCACAACACAAGCGGCCTTCATCAGGTGAAGGGACGAGACTGTCTGGAGGACAGCGCTGTCTCGTCCCTTCACCTGATGAAGGCCACAACACAAGCGGCCTTCATCAGGTGAAGGGACGAGACTGTCTGGAGGACAGCGCTGTCTCGTCCCTTCACCTGATGAAGGCCGCTTGTGTTGTGGCCGAAACGTCGTGAGAATATTATTGTGTTATTTTATTTGATCAATTTATTATTTTATTCTCATTCTACGTGACTTTACCGAAAGAACCAAAGAAGATTAATCCTTGCAGTCACGAAAGCTTTAAATCAATAGTTTAGTTTTTATAGTTTTAGATGGGGTTTTTTCGACAATGTATTTAATAACCTTATTTTAATATATTGCAAAACATATAAAGGCGATCGTGTGCCGTGCCGGCCTTCATAGGTACTCCTCGATAACAGCCCCTGCCCCAACAGTCTATTAAAGACTATACAGGGGGTCATTGTCTCTGTATCCGTGTGTCCGTCCCACAGCATCTCGATGCGGGCCATTGAGAGAGCACGTGGCCTTGAATGCTTCACGGGGGAAATCGCGGCTCTTGAGCCTCTCACATGATCCCCCCCCCCCACCACTGCACCACCCCCACCAAATCCCCTGCTACCCCCAACTACCCACCTCGCCACCAGCATCTCGCCACTCACAGCAGCGCGGACGAGCTTTACACGCTGCGTTTCCACGGTCATCAGGAAACCAGACCCGAGCCGTACCGGTCAGTTCCTGGCATGGAGGAGCACGACTCGTGTCCTGAGCCAACGCTTCGGCTTGTTCCCTCCACCCATTGATAAACTCACACGTGATTGATGGACGGTGAGGTGAAGTATGGTCGAGCAACCCTACTGGCCGACACAGTATGGGGAGTCCTTCATCTTACAATGTATTGACAAAGGCCGTAATATATGCTGCGGCATTGCGTTCAAACTGCGTACAAGCACATAGCTGTGGTTGGTATTACAGACATCTTACATGCTTGTGTAATTAAAAATGTTTTAAACTTAAGTAAAAAGAGCTTCATAGCTCATCGGATTCCTCCAGTTTTCATAAAGATTCTGAAACTGACACAAATGCTTTTAAATCGAGGCAAGACGTGCGCAGAGATGCGCAGAGGGGAAGACGTGAATCAGGCGAAACAAAGTCAATCAGAGACACAACATTGACTGTTGGGAAATGTAATGCGTGCTGAGGCAGGACACATTCCGGCTACGGGAGATGGGCCGATGAACGAGACTGGTGATAGAATGACAGCTCATGGAGCCATCTCGGTGTTCACTTCGTCAGCATTTGGAATCCAAAGGCTTGGACTCGACTAGACGAAGGCTACGATTCTGGATAAGTCAACGCTGCCTGCCAGACTCTTTCCAAAGACTCCTTGCGTGAGCTCATACGCGACGTCCAGCGCGGGCCTCAAAGGGACAGTGAATAAAAATAAATGTGTATATATGAGAAAGCGAATAAATGAACACATTCATTTATATTGGCACCTCGCGGTGCCAGCCAGACATGTGACGGTGGCATTACAGGAATGAGTCACATGGCTACTCCCGTCAGGACGTCTCATTCATTAAGCCCCATCATGTGAATCCATAAAGGGGCACGTGGTGCGGGCAGGGATTCCTTCTCTCCCTCCCGAGCTCCCCGTCGTCTCCCTGGTCATCTCCCTGGTGCGTCCGTCTCTCTGTCACATTCCCCTGGAGACATCGCGCGCTGCCCGCCTCTCTGTCCATCTCCCTGACTGCATCTCTCGCCTCTTCCCTGGAGGCATGGACAGGCCGGCGGTGCTGCTGCTGGCGGCGGTGGTCGGAGTCGCGTTCACGGTGTCGCGATGCGACTGCACGAGTAAGTCTTTACGGTCTCCGAGTGCTGCTCGGTCTCACTGCTGTGCAGCAGATTGAGCAGATTGGGCTGCAAAGTGCGCGCAAGGCGTGGAAGTTCGGAGCGGGGCAGGTGGCTCAGAGGTCAGAGCGAGTTGATGGTCTCGGTCAGGTCACCAATGACTGCACAAATAAACCCATCTAGCAATAACTGGACTTAATTTGTCAAAATTCCAGTTCAGAAAATTCAAACATTGGTTTGACTGCAATGGGCATACATTGTTCAGTAACAGAAAAAAAAACCTCAACGCATTCGTTACTTACTTTTTGGCCTTAAACTATGTTTCATATAAACGGTAACGTTTCGGGAAATGGTCCCTCAGCATAGCACATGGGGTTGGAGACTTCACTTAACGCCGTGGGGCCTGATGAGAATTTAATTTGATAAATGTTTTTCAATGACCAACTTTGTCTTTTTTTAACTGGCTCGTGGATGGTTACCTGCAACAGGATAATTTGGACACATCCTGCCCCCTTACTGTGTGGATAAAGATGCCACTTGATGGGATCTCAGAGTTGGCTCTGTGGCATTCACTTCCTTGGGCCGTTCTCTCACCACACGACGGGTCGCGCGCTGCTCCGTGAGGGTTCGCGATGGGTTCTTCACATCACGGAGAGCTCAATCTGGATACAATCGGGAAGGAGACTTGTTTTTTTATTGTCCGAGGAACGTGGGATATCCACCGCAAGCTTGGAACCAGTGAACACGAGCGCCACTCCACTCCTCTCAGAATCAGAGAATCCGAAGATGTATTTATATTGGTGGAATCCGATGAGCTATGAAGCTCTTTTTCAAAGATGTCCATTTGTCTCCCTCTAGCGTGGACAAGGAAACAAATGGACTGTGTTTGTTGGTCTCGTCGCGTGTCAATTAGTCCATCAAGTTCGTTGGTTTAGTGGGTCACTGATTCAAAGCGAATGTGCAGGAGTGTGTGAATGTTTTTTTTTTATTGGAGGTTGTGCTGTTGTGGAAGAGCCGTGTTGCTAAATGCGTATTGCAGATGATGATGATGATGCTGATGACCAAATTACGATTACATGTCTATTGAATTACGCATTAAATATGATCATCTAATGAATTAAGCCACGTAATGATTTTACCAAACCTGTGTCGTTTAGGCTCCACCACCACCCGACGCTGTCAAATTCAATTGCCACGTGGCGACACAAGCGTTTAATGAGCCAACTAAAACTGTTATTGTTCAAGGCACCAGATCGTGACGCAACCCAAACAAAAACACGAAATTACGAATCATCATATCGGCTCCGAAAACATGAGTAACAAATTATTTATATGATATAATGTGTGGCCAGGTCGCTTCTAAAACAGAAGCTAAATAGCTTATTGCGCTTTATCTGGAAAGAAGAAAAAGTTGTAGTTGTATATTTTGAAGTTATTTGTTTACTTTTCCTGTACGTTGCACTCCTATCGTTTGTTTTTGTAATATTATTATTAGTTGTTATTGTAACGTTCTGACCCACCCCTACTGGACATCTGTGTTAAAGAGCTTTATAGCTCATCGGATTTCTCCAGCAAAAATACACTTTCTGATAGTTATCGTCTTGTGAACTACACGCTAAGATTATAATATTCTGATATTCAATCATAATGATATAACTTAAAGTCCTTAGTCAATCAACGACTGCTTGAAGGCCTCCTCACGCCATGTCGGTTAAGGGGGTTGCTTGACCATACTTCACCTCGCTGGTCCAAGTCCGGGTTTTGTGAAGGGAGTGGAGCAAGAGAGCGGCTCCGAGGACCAGTTCAGAAATCACTCGACGGATTTTCTCCCGGCAATCGAACTCAGATCAACCCGATTCATGGCGTAGTGTGCTAACCACTGAGCCACCGCTCCGGCTATGAAAATGAAACAATTCAAACGATGATACGTGTGAGATGATCATTCTAGATGATGATGATAATGATGATGAGATGTGTCTTATATTACACAAATGTAGATGGATGGGAGCTGGAGCACAGTGGTTGGTGCACTGCGTCATGGACCCGACGATCTAAGTTCGATTCCAGGCCACGGCAAACAGCGGTCCTCCTCTCTAGCGATGGGGAAGGCCCTCCGTCCCTTAAGTTCACCTTTACTTGTGAACTTAACAGGATGGCGATGACAGAGGGCTCTTGTTATGAGCCCATTCAGTGCAAACCCCCTGCATCGCCTCCCCCCTCCCCCCAAACACCCACCACCCCCTCCCCCCTCCTGTGCCCCGTAGGGCGATGGGGACCCTCGCCGCACCACCGCCACGGGCCGCCGCGACGGGAGACCAGGGGACCCGTGGACCCCGGAGTCCTGCCGGGGTGGCCCGCCAACGATCCTCGCTGGCTCGGTGCCGGAGGAGGTCAGCAGATACGGCACTTGCGAAGAGGGGATTAAGATGGGGAGGTGGTGGTGGTGGTGGGGGATTTGCTTTAATCTGGAGGGCTTAGCGAGCGCTTACCGCCAGCGAGAGCGTTTCCCACAGAGCGAAAATGGAGAAAAAGAAGAACACATTGCACGGGGGCCGTTCACGCGGCTCTCAGCTGCCCGTGGTGCGAGCGACGCGATAACTCCCGTAAAGACGGTCCCGGTGTGACGGCAAACTTTAGTGTAGTTGGGGTTGTGTTGCTAAGAGCCGACTCGACTCGGAGACAGCCGGCTCAATTGATGGAAATGGTTATTGCTCAAAGCGTAGAGATATCAAAATGAAATCTGAGCGGAAAAATAATTCACGAAACCGGCGCTAAAAGGGCGGTGTCAAAACATTGTGAATATTGTGAGATTAAAAGAACGTTGTATTTATCTGTAACATGGGCGTCTTGCACGTGACTCAACCCACTCTCCCTCCGGGGAAGATAAAATAAGTACCGCTTTGTGGCGAATTCAACAGCGTCTGGCCAATGGATATACTCGCCCCGGCCATAGACAAGTTAAATTGACCACCACCCGGCTCAGGGCCGAACACAGAGGTTGCGCGCCAACGTCTCAACATTCTCCCGCGAGCAAGACGATCGATCGCTTCGCACCCTCTCGGAGTTTCATTTCAGTGGGGTGTCTGCACGTGGATCACCGAGAAGCCGCGTCCGCCCTGCGTCCGTGCGCGCGCAGGCGCCCGGGTCACGGTGGAGGTCACCAACGACTGCCCGACCCTGACCGGGGCGCGGGCCACGTTCAGCGCGCGCCTCCGCGTCCCCCGGGAGCTCGAGGCGGCGTGGAGAGACGCGGAGCCCCTCAACGGTAACGCCACGGGCCTACGGGAAACAAATCGCTGTGACATTAAATAAGTAATATTTTTTTTTTAACTTTTTTATAACACGCTTTTATGAAATGTGCTAGTAATTGCAGATCTCCACGACTCCAGCAAGTGGCCCCGAAGCTTGCCACAACGTAAGAGACCGTGGGCAATTACAGCTAACGTCAGTTGACAGTGGACAATTAGACCCAAGCCGAAACATAACATATAAAAAATAATGTTTAAAAATATATATATTTGAATGATAGAATATAGTATTGTCATCAGTATGACATAAGTATAGCAAGTTTGCAGTCGATACCACATTGGGAAGTGGGTTAAAATTGAGTTACAAGATTTGAGGATACAACAACAGAGTGAGTTAATAAAAAGCGTGTAATAATAATAATAAAAGGACATGCAGTGTATGTATATAATAGGCGACGTTTCGGGCGATGAACCTTCTTAGTAGCACATAAACAGAGAGGGCCGAGAGATAGAGTGGAGGATAAAGAGTTGGACTGGAGACTGCTCTTCAAAGACCAGAGGACCAGATGATAATTTGATTATACGTATTCATTTGCCAATGAACAGATTTGAAATTAGCACTATCTCGGTTGTATGGATTGCATTGTCTGTCCGTCTGTCTCGTCTGCACTGCCTGCCTCTGTCTCACGTGTACCGCGCATCGTCTCGCTCTGCAGCGTGCTTACCATCCGCACCTCCGATTATCACGGTTGGCTGTGTACGGTGCAACAGAAGTTCGACGTACAGACATCACAGCCCAAATGTAGCAGGCACCAGTAGAGCTCCATTGCCAATCTACTGCTGGACACAGGCCTCCTCACGCTGTTGTGGGGTCGAAGGGGTTATTTGACCATATTTCACCACGCTGGTGAATGCGGGTTTGAAAAGGCGGTGAGCATATACTGTAGGTGTGGTAACCTGGCATGCAATGATGGCCACACGTCCAAGCGCTCTTCAGGTTCAATTCTGCTTAGCTCGCGAGATCTGACGGTATCGGGCGCATTCTGAGTGAGTCAGCAAAGGTCATCGCTAATAAAGCCCCACACAATGAAACTGGTGTTTGGCCAAGCATCCCAATGCTGACAAATAACCTGCAAATGTTTACATCGGGACGACACGCAGCAGCAGCAACATCGCCCCACTGCTGCGAAAACTTGACTGCACCCTCCTTAAAAAGAGTCTTCAGACTCCGTTTTATTAATCAACAAAAATGATGTAAAATTATAATGATATTACACATCTGCACATAATTTACGTAAATCGTAAATCATTGCACGCACGACTCATGCGCAAGACTCCGACCTCCGCGTGAATGGACGACTCGTCCCGTGACTACCGCTCCCCTCGGGGTCTCTTCCCGGTCCTCCCCGTGTCCTCTCGCACGCAGACGCGCACCCAGACTGCGGCTCAGGGAGGCACCCTGGACCCTACCGGGGAGGCAGAGAGGACCTCCTCAGCGGGGACCCGGCGAGGAAGGGGCCACGCTTCGTCTACGTGTGGAGCGGCCTGGGTGCGGACCGCCTCAGCGTCACGCGGCGCACGTTGTCATCGCAGTCAGACAGCTGTTTTTGGGGTGCACGTTGCAAATGTGCAGTGCGGGAGTGGCTTTGTTAAAGCTTACCACGTTTCCGGGGGGGGGGGGGGGGGGCTCAACCGGGACGCACGCCGAACTTTACAATGAGTGCACTTTGTAAAAAAGTCACATCGGCATGTCTCTAAGGTAGATGACTAGTTTTTGTTATTGTAAAAACTCACATTGGCGTTACCATGCCTGTGTTCCTGGGCGCACCTTGTGGAAGTGCACGTGCCTTTAACATATAGTATATACTGCAAACCATTTGGATGCACCTTCTAAACACGCACGCGGCACGGATTTATAGTTTGTGCAGTACCGTGAGCAAATGGGCGCACATTGTAAAAGCTGCGTGTGGCTCGGTTATACGGGTGTTGTATGCACAGCACCACGAGGCAATGGGTGCACATTGTAAAGGCGCGACCGCGTGTTTTTGTTGTCCGCCGCAGGTCGCTCGTGGCAGGTGCCCGGTAACGCGACCTCTGGGCTGGTGCTGGAGACGCGGGGGGTCCCCCTGGGCTCGCACCCCGTGTCCCTCGTGGTCTACCGTCGTGGGGGCTCCCGACAGTTCGTGCCCGTGGCACGCGCCTCCTCGCAGTTCGCCGTCACGGGTTCGACTCCCGGCTTCACGTCTTAAGTTTTATATCTGTACCGTGTATATTCTTGGTTCTTTCGGTGAAGTCACGTAGAAGGGAAACAATAAAATGATAAAAATATTTAGCAATAAAATTCTCACGACGTTTCGACTGCAACACAAGCAATCATCATCAGGTGTGAAAAGCAACGGCAGGAAAATTTGAAAAAAAGTGGAGGTTATTTTTAACGTTAGCACCACGGAGAGCGATTTGACAGTTTGTTCAGATGGACGAGTCCATCTATGTTCGGAAAAGAGGAGGGGGGAGACGAAATAATGGATGCGGTCTGAAAGCCACCGTAAACGTGAACAATCAATTAAGACCCGAAATGGTTTATCAAATCCTTCCAATGATTGCTAAGCCAACTTCTCGGTTGAAATTGTCTCTGTGTTTGTATATGTGGATAGCCTCATGAACGAATCTCTCATGGTAGCCAGATGGCTTGCAAAGAACCTCTGTCATGGAGAAGTCAATGTCATGTGAGTCTACTGAATAATAACAGTGATCTGCCACGGCCGCATCCATTATTTTCGTCTCCCCCCTCCTCTTTTCCGAATATAGATGGACTCGTCCATCTGAACAAACTGTCAAATCGCTCTCCATGGTGCTAACGTAAAAAATAACCGCCACTTTTTTTAAAAAAAATTTGCTGTGGTTTTCACACCTGTTGATGATTGCTTGTGTTGCAGTAGAAACGTCGTGAGAATTTTATTGTTTTATATTTTTATTACTTTATTGTTTCCCTTCTACGTGACTTTACCGAAAGAACCAAGAATATGAATCCCTGCAGTCACGAAAGATTTAAATAAAAAAATATACTGTGGATATTAGGTTTTTGTTTTTGCTATCACACCACGTGGATCCAAATGCAATTAGTACGTCATTTACTGGATGGAGCGGTGGCGCAGCGATTAACGATGCTCTGAGCTGTCAAGCCGACGACCTTCCACCGATTCCTCCCTCGCTTCCCCACGACTTTCCAAAGCCTTTCCCCATCAAACCACCTCCCAATCTCAACCCAGGTCTCCCAAATCCCCCCCCCCCCCCCCCCACCGATGCTTTGACGCCACCTCTCACGAATCCCCCTCGCACCACGTCTTACCCCTTCTTCCGTGTTTCAGACCAAGTCCCCTTCTCGGTGGAGCTCAGCCAGTCCGCCGTAGCAGCCGCGGGCTCCGGGCAAGAAGAAGAGTTAGCGGTGGGGGGTGAGGACGCGAGATCGCCGGGGCCGCGGCGGCAGCGCTTCGTGGCCGGGCCCAACGTGCTGTTCGAGGCGCGGCTGCACGACCCGAGCGGCTTCCTGCGCGGAGCCGACGTCTCCTTCTCGTGGGACTTCGGGGACGGCTCGGGCCTCCTCATCTCTCGCCTCGCGCACGCCCTCCACTCGTACGCCGGGCCCGGCGCGTACGCGGCGCGGCTCGCCGTGCAGGCCACCGTGCCCGCGCCCTGCGCCACCACCGCCGCCGCCGCCGTCAGCGCCGCCACCGGCACCGGTACGGCCGCAGCCAGCGCCGCTACAGCCACCGCGGTAACAACGACGGCAGCCGCCGCCGGCAACACCACGACAGCGGCTACTGACGCCACCGTGGTCGGCAGCACCACGGAGAGCGCCTCCACTGCTGCCCCGGGGGAGCCCAGCGCCACCACATCCCGCGCAGGTGGGGGGCAGGGTTGAGACGTGTGTGGATCGGTGGTGCAGCGAGCGAGTGTGCAGGCGGTGCAACTGCACCGGGCCCCACGAGCCCGAAGGACCCAATAGCAGGGCAATGTGCTGGCATCACGGTTCGGGTTCGGGTTAGCGCCAGGGTTAGTAGCAAGGTTATGGTGAGAGAGGTTGTTACAAAATCACTGAATAAACTAACTTTTGGTAGATAAGCAAGTTTAAGCCTGTTTAGTCCTGGGAAGGGAGATGTCCGGGGAGAATACCGAGTATTATAATCTTGCGTAACGATGTGGCCAGGAGAAGGCGGTACAAGCAGTGGCTTCTTCAGTTAATCTGCGCAAAATCTGAGTGGTTCCCCTCGTATATGCGTGATGGGGGTTTCTGCTGGTTCACCAGGTTCCTTTCACATGCCCAACGCTCATTAGTGACCTTGATCGAACATCCCAAAGCAGCAGGACCCTCCTGAAAAATAACCTTGAGCCTCAGTGAGTCCAACCCTGATGTGAAAAGTCGTTAGCTCCTTTGTCAATCCAGTGCTGGGTGAACGCTTCCCCTTGCTGTGTCGGTCACGGGGGTCGTTTGGCCATACTTCACCAAACTGGTCAAGTACGGGTTGGTGAAGGGGAGGGGGCTTGGGACCGGTTCAGATATCACCCGCGACTGCTCCATCCCCTGTCCTGGGTAATGGACAACGATTATTATATTTTTTTATAATTTTCCCAGGGAGATCCTCCTGCATGACGATGCTTGACTAACATCTTCTTACGCAATCGTCAATTTTCATGCAGGCGGCAACCGCAGTGAGCAGAGAATCCCCTGCAGAGGGGAGAGCGCACAGACACGTGACCGCGTGCAGGGTCCTGATGGGCGTTCCGATCCTACGGTCGCAATGCACCTCGTGCCGTCTACTCTTGCGAATATTGCGACTCTTATCTGGTTCGCATCTGCACTGGAAAAATAACACTCTCTGGTGTGCGACCTTGGTCGTCATCCAGAACAGAACCACGGAACTCATAGCGACTCCATGCCCCGGTTCACAAATCAGGAGGCATTGATCACAGTAGGGACGATTCACCACTCCGCGCACTCCTCACGCAATCATCTGGCACATCCATCACCTCAATATTACAGCTATTGCTCTCATTCATTCAGCGATTTTTTTTTTGTAAAAACTCGACCCCACTACCTACGAAATCACGACACATGTAAAAAAAAATATTTTTTTTATGGGAGGGCATACTCAAGGAAAAGCTAAAAGTAAACAAAAATATTGCAAGAGTTTCCTGAACCGTTCGGTGCTCGGAGCCAATCTGAGGGCCCGTGGAAGAGAGTTGTCCACGTCTTAGGCGTCACACTCGAGAAGGCCCCCGCTACTGCCGCCCCCTCCCCCCCCCCCCCCCCCCCACACACATCAGCCAGACGAAGAAGACGAAGGCGTCTGCCCTCCCGTTCGATGTCTTCGCGAGCTTCTCTCGTCGTTCAGGTGTCCAGCGACACGGGACACTGACGCTCACCCTTTCTGTGCGATGTCTCCTCTCCCTCCCTGTGCTGATGGTGGTGGTGGTGGTAGTTGGAGGGGGTCTCACAGTCGCCGAACCGTACGGCACCACCGCCATCCCCAGCTCCCCGAGCGGGACCTCTGCACCGTCGCGAGTCCTCGACGGAGCCGCCGCCGCCGCTGCCCGGGAGAGTCCGGAGCTGAACCTCCTCCTCCTCCTGAGCCAGGAGTTATCCGGGCAGGATCGCCCCACCGACTGTCCCCTCTATCGCTACGGCACCTACAGCACCACGGTGGAGGTCGTGGGTGAGGCGACTGTGAAGCCACTAGGGAGACATGCTGCAAGCCTGCCCACTTGCCTACCTGCTTGCGTGCCTACATAAATACCTCTCTGCGTAAGAGGCGTGCCTGCCCACTAACTCTATCCACCTCGTTTCCCAACCCGTCATGCAGCTGGCACTTGCCTACCTGCATGGTTGCCAAGCTAAGCACCTGCCTGCCTACCCACGAACACACCCACTAACCTACACACCTACCTACCACCTAGCTATAAATCCACCCACACACTCACTTACCTACTTTCCCACCCACTCATCCAACAACTTGCTTATCTACCAAATACCTATGCACGGAAACAACCGCCTAGCTACCTATTTACCTACATACTCACCCATCCACCAACCTACTTTCCTAAGTAATTACCCACATCCTCACTCACCCCTCGATCTACTTATCTATCGACCTATTTACTTACCAACTCACTCACCTGTTCGTCTATTTGCCGAGTTACCCGCCTACCATCCTACCCACTTACGTAACTACCCACCCATCTACCTACCCACCCATCTACCTACTCACCCATCTACCTACCCACCCAACTATCTACCCACCCATCTACCCACCCATCTACCCACCCACCCATCTAACTACCCACCTATCTACCCACCCACCCATCTACCCACCCACCCATCTAACTACCCACCCATCTACCCACCCACCCATCTAACTACCCACCCACCCATTTATCTACCCACCCACCCATCTACCCACCCACCCATCTACCCACCCACCCATCTATCTACCCACCCACCCATCTAACAACCCACCCAACTACCCACCCAACTACCCACCCATCTAACTACCCACCCAACTACCTACCCACCCATCTACCTACCCACCCATCTACCCACCCACCCATCTACCTACCCACCCAACTACCTACCCACCCATCTACCCACCCACCCAACTACCTACCCACCCATCTACCCACCCACCCATCTAACTACCCACCCACCCATCTAACTACCCACCCACCCAACTACCTACCCACCCATCTACCCACCCACCCATCTACCCACCCACCCATCTACCCACCCACCCATCTACCCACCCAACTACCTACCCACCCATCTACCCACCCACCCATCTACCTACCCACCCAACTACCCACCCACCCATCTACCTACCCACCCACCCATCTACCTACCCACCCATCCATCTACCCACCCACCCATCTACCCACCCATCTACCTACCCACCCATCTACCTACCCACCCATCTACCCACCCACCCATCTACCTACCCACCCACCCATCTACCCACCCACCCAACTACCCACCCACCCATCTACCTACCCACCCATCTAACTACCCACTCACCCATCTACCCACCCACCCATCTACCTACCCACCCACCCATTTATCTACCCACCCACCCATCTACCCACCCACCCATCTAACTACCTACCCACCCATCTACCTATTCACCCAACTACCTACCTATCCAACCACGTTCTTATTTACCTACCGACCTACCACAACGCAATACGACCCCACATCACTCACTAAGTGGTCCCCAACCCCCCCACTCCCTTCTACCCCCCCCACACGGCCATGTCGCCGCACAGATGGAATCGCCACGGCGGAGGTGCGGAGGGCCGTGTCGGTGGCGCAAGGGGGAGTGCACTTCTTCACACCGCACGCTCTGCTCGACTTCGAGGTGGAAAGCCACGGCGGGTGAGAGCTCTCCCCTCTCTACTCTCTCTATTCTCCTCTCTCTCATCTCCACCTGTCTCCTCTCTTCTCTCTCCTCTCCATTCTCCTCTCCCCTCACTCCTTTTTTATGATCAGAGGAAACAAGAAGATGCTCGGTGTAGTCGGCACTTTGCTCCATTCATCATTTCTGTTTTTTTATGCTTTGCTTTATGTAACCCCCACACCTTTTAAATTAAAGACCCAACAAATTATTTTTTCTTCTTTTTTTCTGCTCTCCTTACCCCTTCCCTCTCTCTCTACCCCCCTCTCTGCCCCTCCTCTCTCTCTATCCCCCTCTCTGCCCCCCCCCCCCTCTCTCTCTGCCCCCTCTCTTCCTACTCCATTTCGCTCTCTCTTGCTCACTCTCTCGCTCTCTCTTTTTTTATAACTACGACAAGTGCTGCATCTGCACGCAACCATTCCCACAGTCAAACGGCCTCCGACGGGTAGCTTAGATCTGCATGCAGAGCTCTCTTCTCTTCTCTCCACTTTCCGCTCTCGCTGACCCTCGGCACGGGGATAAAGATGGCACCATTAGTCGATTAATCGACGAAAAGTTAGATTCGACGAATTTATGCGGGCGACTACTCAGGCGCGCTTCCAGCACACGGGCACGTGGTACTGCTGCTGATGGTGTGGTAGTGGTATAATGAAGGTTGTGATAGTGATGATGATGAAGATGGTGGTATTGATGATCCTGATGATGATGTCTCTGATGATATCGTGGTGTGATGATGATGCTGCGTCTAATAAAGCTGCTGCTGATGATACTGACTATGATAATAATCATAATAATGTTGCTAATGCCGTTGCTGCTGCTGACGATGGTGGCGGCGATGATTCCGCAGCAGTACCCCCACGAAGCTGTGCAGCGAGCTTCTCTCCGAGGACTGCGCCGACTCGCTGGGAGAGGCGGCGTGCGAGCCCGTGGCCCCGGGCACCTGCGCGGCCGATTCCCGGGTTTGCTCCCTGGTCCTGCGCCGGGAGTTCCACTCCGCGGGGAGCTACTGCCTTCGGGTGACCGTGGCGGACGCACTCAGCAGAGCCTCCGCCACCACTCGCCTGAGCCTCCAGAGCAGTAGGAGTCTCACTCGCTCGTTCGCTCGCTCATCCACTCGCTCGCCCGCTCACTCACCCGCTCACTCACCCATTAGATCACCCACTCACATACCCGCCCAACCACTCGCTCACTCACTCGCTCACTCACTCACCCATTCACTCGCTCACTCGTTCACCCACTCGCTCACCCAATCACTCATCCAATCATTCAACTACTCACCCACTCATTCACTCACTCACCCATTCACTCACCTACTCACTCACTCACACACACACTCACCTTCTCAAATCTAGATCCAGTATGAGGGGGTCTTCCTGGACAAAAACCGGCGTATAGTCTCCACAAGATCTTCCCGGGTTATGAAGGATGCGGTCGTAGTTATGATTTAAGATCATGGCAGACGTGGTGGTGGTGACTGCGGTGATGGTGACGGTGAAGAAAGACTCGTGGTAGTGATGATGATCTTGATCACCCTTTAACTCCCCGTGCCTCTCCACGCTCCACAGTCTCCGAGTCGGCCTCACTGGAAGCCGCTGTCATCATTGGAGCCTTCGCGGTGGTGCTGGTGATTGGACTTGCAGTTCTCATGCACAGGTGTGTGTGTGTATGGAACGCACAGGTGTGATGCCCCACTAAAACACACCTGCACAGATATTCGTATATACATGCCATTATATAAATCATAATGTAAATACCAGTTTCTTAAACCGGTAACCGTTTTCAGAATCGGTTACCAGTTCCAGAGGTTACCGCCCGGTAATCTACTCGAGTGGGGTTGAGACTCGCTCCGTTGCTTCAACTGTCGCCCCAGGAGGTTGACTCGAACTGGCGACCTCTGGACGGCAGGTCCCGTGGCGCTGCTGGACGTTGCACCCACGGCAATTGTTTTAATTCGACGAAACTTGCAATCGGCTGGTTGAGACCACAGTAAGAGAGTCATTTCAATCCAGTGGGGATGTCAATGAGACCACCGCGCCTGTGGCAGGCCAGGTGCACTTTGAGGCCACGTGAAGTGTCGAAGGCTCGCTGCCTAAATGAGGTCACGGGACAGACCCAGGCGCCACGGGTGGAATGACTGGGATGGCCGGCAGATAACACACACACACACACCGTCTATTTTGCCATTGCCCCGTGCCGCTCTGAGCCCCCCCCCCCCCCCCCGCGTGTGCGCCCCGGACGTCTGCGAAAAATAAAAGAGCTTCGTAGCTCATCGGATTCCTCGCCCGGTCTAAATAAACATTTTGATTCCGCTTCTTGCGCCCGCCAAGGCGAGGAGCGCTCACGGCTGACGCCGCCACCGCGTGGAGCCGCCCGGGAGAGGAGGAGGAGGAGGCGGCGGGGGCGGTGCGGGGAGGCGGCGGTGTCGGCGCGGGGTCGCGGTGGCCGCGGCGGTGGTGGCTCAGTGGCCTCGGCGCCAGCGTGCGCGACCTGCTGGCCACCCAGAGCGACACCAAGCACGCCCTGCTCGTCAACGCCTGACGGGGGCCGTTCCCCCACCCCGCCCTCGCCAGGGGACACGGCGCTGTCTGCTGCTGCTGCTGTCTCCTGCTGCTGCTGTTGTTGTCTCCTGCTGCTGCGCCCACGGTCACACTAAACCATGATGGCCCCAGTGCTGGCGATTGAAGCAGCGCTTCATAGATGTTGTGAGATAAACACTCCGTGTGATTCCTCCCCCCCAACACCACCACCGATTGACTTCTCATGATTCGGGGTCGTAATTATATTTGCGATGATGAGGATGATGACATTGTCTTGTTGTCTGTAGGCTCGTGTCTGTCTCGTTTGTAACGTTTAGTTTGTATTGTCTGTCCTGTTTCTCATCCTTACCGTCTCGTTTGTGTTGTCCGTGGATTTTATATTGTCTCGTTTGTATTGTACCGTATCATTTGTTCTGTGCATATCGTTTGCATTGTCTGATTTGTGTGCTCGTTTTTACTGTATTCGTTGCATTGTCCGTGTCTTTTGTACCGTCTCGTTTGTGTTGTCCGTCTGATCCCGCCACGTTCGCCCCATCAGCCCATTACCCCGAAGTGTAACTTGCTTGTAATTTGCATACGCGTTCCATCAATATAAAATTACAGAATCTTACACGCTTGATTTGATGCAAGGCAATGTCTCAGAATCGTTCTAATCCTGGGCGGCTCGTGACACTTCCACTCGGCGGGGCTGTTGTGAGTGCCCTCTGAAAAGATGGTCAGTTTAACACGGAGGCTTTTGCGACCAATATCATCCATGGTAGAGTTTTTTTGGGTTAGATCGCGTAAATATATAAATGTGTCGTTAAAACCCACCGCCACCCGACAGCCAACTCGTACGGGTTGTCACGTAAACAGGACGTGGCGAATTCGTCACGAGTACAGCACTAACCGGTGTGTTGGTCACGAGACAGACCCAGGCGTAGAAGTGTGGTCACCACATCTACACCTCTACATAAGGAATGAAACAGGTGGACTTCTCCACAAATCTGGCTGTCGCCTGATGAAGCTAGTTGTAATTACTGGCGAAACGTCGTACTCAGATTGTAAATGTTGTGGCTTGGCTCTCCAACATACCGGTTAGTGCTGTACTAGTGACGAATTGGCCACGTTCTGTTGACGTGACAACCCTTACTAGTTGGCTGTGTCGGGTGGTGGCGGGTTTAACGACATATTTATATATTTACGCGATCTAACCTAAAAAAACCTCTTTGATGGATGAAAAGATGGTGTTCTAATGAGGTAAAAGCTCGTCGTGTTATTGGCCGTGCCGTGAAAGTAATATCTAACAACGGTAGGCATTTGTGAACAATACCAAACAAAACAAAGCACTCAAATGCTGTCCCCATGACCCTCAAGTTGACGCTGCCAAAACCCCACAGAACAATAAAAGATCAGCTGACACGACGCAACAAATCCTTTCAGAGTCAATATTTAGGAGTGACTCCCACAGCCTTCGTTGCCAATTCTTTGTTTCCTGCACAATGCTGCCATCGCCACTGCTGTTGTTTCCTCCTCGAGCGTGTAGGCCGTGCTCTATTTGCACGGTGCAGCCTCGCGTTGTGACATCGTCTCTCATCACATACAGCCAAGGGCGCCCTTTTCACCGCCCCGAATGGGTCTCCAGCGGCGTGTCCACAATGCCAGAAGCCACTCGCGACGAACGAAGAGGAAATGTCTCCCACTCGGAGGACGCCTGCACGGACGCCCCGAGAACGAGACACAAAACAGACTCCGGCGTTGCAGCGGTTTACAATACGAACAACTTAAAATGTTGTTTTCATTCGGGCAATTCACGTTGAATGAATCATGTTTCCTTTTGTTTTAAAACACAACAAAACCGTTTATAGAAAAGTATTTTTTTATTAGAAAAATAATTTCTCATCTGCAACTGCACGGTGGGGCGACGTCCCAACGCACCGAGCGGACGAGCCGCGCCTGCTTCGAATCTCCCAATCATCATTATCATCATCACCACGTGGCGACACAGCATCGACTCGCCGGTTCGTTTCAGGTGAGAAAAAGTCCGGAACAGTTCTAGGAATGATTCTGGCTGCACCGCATCCATCGTGCCTTATTGCGTCCGTTTAATCGATATACGCACCTTGATAGACGCATATGGAATACAGGGGTACTTGTACAATAAGATCCTATTATGCCTAGGCTTTAGTTTATTTATTTTATGTATTTATTTTGGTATAGCCCTGTGAGCCATTCGGCTCTTGAAGCATAGCGTGCACTCGAGTGGCACTGTCGTGCCTGACGCCTCCGATTAGCCCTACTGCCTAGCCAAGCCTCGCAGCCTTCAGAAAAAAAACATATGCAGTGTGTGTGATCCACGCGCGCGTGTGTGTGTGTCATCCACACGTGTGTGTGTCATCCACACGCGCGTGTGTGTGTGTCATCCACACGCCATGGACAGACAGCACTGCCACCGTCCAGCGAACACGCCGCGGAGGCCTGGACCCCGAGGCGTAGAGAGCGTGGTGCTGGCAGGGAGTGCCTTGGCTCCCTCTGGCGGCCAAAGCTACGAGTCATTAAATCGAAATTTAACCACCAGATGATTTGCTTTAAACAACAACACTGTAAAAATAACAACAACACTTGTCAAATGATGCTATTAGGCAAGAGGAGGCCGCGATATACAATAGCCTAAGTGCGAACGTGCGACACAAATAAAATATTGGTGCCCCACCTGACCGATTGCTTCAGCTGACAATGTAAGTCCCTAACCCCACTGTCTGGGCCGGTAGGTTCCAGGGCAAGGTCCCGGCTAGGATAGGGTGGGGGGTAATTGATTAGAGTCGCGGGGTTAGGGTTATATTATTCTCTGTTATGTGATAGAAAAAAAAGCACACGGTGTCTAACCGTTCGGCAAGAAAACGTGGCTATCCCATAGCTGCTCGTAGTTGCGGTGGCTTTAAGTCTCGCCAATTGTGGAATTGGTCACTTTTTGGAATCGGTTTTCGGTTCATTAAGTCCATTTATATTGCGTTTTATTATTTTGCAACCGTGGTGCGTGTCGAAACGCATGCAACTTTGACAAATCGAAGATAATCGAATCTCACAAGCCAGATTCGATCCGCGTTATCGATTTGCAAAAGAATAACGAGACTGTATTAACCCCCCCCGCGGGCCTCTGTCCACCCAGCAGCAGTATACAACGTGCGTGTGGTGGGGCACAGGCAGTGCCGGACTAAGCTAGTGCTGGGCCTGTAGCATGATGTTATGAAGGGGCCCTAAATAAAAATATAAAAAATATATATATTAAAAACACACATTTTTTTCTTGCATAGTAAAGTAATTGTATTTTTTCATTTGTTATACAGCCAGATAATACGACAAATCGCTAAGCTTAAACACCAAGTCGTTCGTAAAAGTTGAAGGCGGTATAGTACTATAGTAATAGAGCAAGTGCAGAATCACTGAACAGGAATTTATAGCTTGGAAGCATTTAGCGCGGGGCCCTTGAAAGTGCGGGGCCTGTAGCATGTGTAGTTACTTTCGCTGCTAGGATAATCCGGTACTGGGTAACGTGTGGTTACTCCCACCTCTTCCATCGTCACGTCTGCTCCCTGTAAGTGGATGCCCTTCCGACAGCAGTGGCGTGAGCGAGCGCTCGCAGGGGCTGCGCCTTTTTTTTGTATCGATGCCATCGGTGCGTGTCGAAAGTCATGCGGGACCCGTAGCCGAACCCAACACCGGGAGGTGAAAACCAAACAATCCGTGGCGTCGTCGTGGAGACCATTTCGAGACCAGGCGAGAGATGGAGCGATGTCCTCTGGCGTGTGTCTTCCTCCCCAGCAGAGGTCTCTGTTGCCACGAGAAGCTCAACGACCCTCCCGCGTCGATGCCAACTCCGTTGCGGGCAACTGTTGCTCTCAACTACAACAACAACAACGCCCGCACCCACCAACGACAATCAATGGCGTAGCTATCGAGGGTGCCGGCGGTGCAACTGCACCTGAGCCTGTGAAGAGGGCGGGAGGAGTGTGGGGGGGGGGGGATTTTTGGGCCTAATTAATTTCGTGTAGCAGGCACCCAGGGCCCATGTCAGCCCCGCTTGGCTGCTGACAATGACACTGCATCATCACACGCATGTCTCTAATATCGCATCGATAGTGCAGTGTACAGCTCCGTGTTGTTATGTCACACCGACGAACATCGCTTCGCCTGGCGCTCGCACCTGCAACATGAGCTGATTGCATCGTTCCGTCTCCGCGGTGGACGTCCTCTGGGCGCGTTCTGTCCCTCGGCGGCTATTCCGTCACAGGGGCCGTCCATAAATGACGTCACGCGATTTTGGCGGATTTTTGACCCCCCCTCGTCACACATCGTTACAAATGTCTGACCCCCCCTCCCCCCCTCGTCACACGGTGTCACAAATGTCTGACCCCCCCTCTCCCCCCTCCCTCGTCACACATCGTCACAAATGTCTGACCCCCCCCCTCGTCACACATCGTCACAAATGTCTGACCCCCCCCCCAGGTGCGTGACGTCATTTATGGACGGCCCCACAGCCCCGTCCGTGTGGCCATCATCTCTTCTCGCGACGGTTCCTGCCCAAGCCCCGCAAGCCGGCGCGTGTTTTCTAACTCCACGCGCTCACGTGTCTCAGTCTCGCAATGTCATCGGCAGCACGCGTCTCTCAATTCCCCGGTGCTGCACTTGCCAATTCCATCGTCTCGTTTGCATAAGCAGTAAATAATATATTTTCTCACGTGCACGATCAGATTACACGCATCGCCCGGGTAACAGCAGCCCGCACCGCGTGGCCCAGCGGTCGTGCGAACGGCTCGCGGTCGCAAGGTTGAGAGTTCAACTCCTGAGTTAGGGGTCGACTCAGCACCATCATCATTCCTCACTGCGGGGTCGATAAAAAAATATACCAGCACCACTTTGCGGAGAAGTCGACAGTGGCTGTTTTATGGATAGACTCACCCCGGCCTTAGGGATGTGGAATTCACGTCAATGGTTCAGCACCGCTTCAATTATAATTTGTGAAGGAAATAGATTTGAAAAAAAAATTAGAGCGGAACAATCAATGTGAATCGACGGGTGAATGGAACATCATATCCCGAGTTGCCAATTCAATGACAGCTCTCCATCTCTGGATCCATCCTGTACCCCCCCCCATCCCAGACCACCCCCCACTGCCCGCCATCCCCGAGACCCCCTGAATCTCCGGGTTCATCACCACTGGACCACAGTTTTAATGAGACCCGTTCTGCTACTGCACACAATAGCGGCCATTGTCCTCCCCTCTCTCCAAAATCTGGCAACTGGCGAGACGAGGGCTTGGCAGCCATGGCGTGGCGGTGTCGCAATGAGCCACGTCCGTGGCGACACGAGGTCCCCATTAACTCATCACAGGGGATCGCAGCAGGTCCCCGAGGGTGAGTGACACGTATTTACGCTTTCATTAAGCCCCCCCCCTCCATCCATTCTCAGCGTTGGGGGATGAGTGGCGCAGTGGTCAGAGCGTGCCGCGGCTCTTCGCGGTGGCAAGGTCAAGAGGTTAAGTCCCGAGCGGGAGCCGAACTCAGCTGATCATCATCACCCATGAGCAATGTACTGCTGGATGAAGGTCTCCTCCCCAAACTGCCGCCGTCTTTCACGATC